CAAATAAATGCAAACAAGTACAGCCACAACATCTCAGGGAATGTCCTCTTGGCCCGACAGCTGCTGTGCCCTTTGCGTCGTGGCTGGCGCGGCCACGCCATGAGCTGTGTCCTGGCTTCTGCCAAAACTCCTTTGGGGATCATGTTGGTCAGCCAGACTTTTCGAACAATCCCGTACCCGCGATGATGCACATGGCAGGGCAGCCGTGAAAGTCAGGATGCTGTCAGCAGCTGCAGCAGTATCCCTCAGTCTAGAATGAATGTTTGCTAGGTCCTTGTCGAACAGTTCGAAGCAATGGCATAGTAGGTAAGGCAAGCGCATTGTTTGACGAACCGTTGCGAGGCTCATCTGGACAATGCTCGGGTTCAACGGTGCCTATCAGAAACTTGGTTCACAAAGTCAAGCAAGGTACACAGGAACCAGTGCAGCGCCGGCAAACACACCAAACAATATGTGGTCACAACCAGGCTGGCTTTTGGGGTTATGTGTTCCTGTGAGTTTGCCTGCTCCTGCTGCGCGATGTGAGTGATGAAAAACGCTATCGAAAAGGCAAACTTGAACAAAACAAACCTCAGCAACAAAACGAGTAGGAAACGTCGATGTTCGGTGCCTAACTTCCTTGCAGTTGGTAGCGCGTGCTAAACACACACGTGCTGCGCGGCTGACACTTTCCCTTTGTACCGCGGCGCCGCTCCTAGTGTGGGGCGCGACGCGTGGCCAACTAGGCAAAAGGCACACCTCGTGTACAGGGCCATGCGAGGCCGGGCAGGACGCCCTACGGCAGTTAAAAAACTAGCCACAGTCTCAGCAACAGAAATAGTAATTATAATGAACTATATTCGCAGTGGCATCAAAATTCGACATAATAATGATAGTAATCGTTCATGTCTGACATGGTTGGGCAGTCCACGGATACTTCGTAGAGGCCAACTCCAACTTTCGGGGCGGCACGCAGCAAGTAAACCAACAACTACTGTTTGACAGTGGAGGGCGAACGTAGAACCCAAAAGCCAGGACACTGACTCTGCAGCGCAGCACCGAAATCGTCAGTGGTAGCAATAGTATTCAAAACGATACAAATACAAAATAAAGCCAGTGCGTGCTTCGGGGGCTTGGTTCATTCCAGATGCGCCACTTTGCGCGTCTGATTCGTAAATTGGATGTTTGTCATCTGGACGTTATCTGCCTGCTCTGGCTTGAAGAGTCGGGACATGCTGTTCAGCGCACGGGCCTGGGGGGCTGCCAACCCACCTGCTTTCATCCATATTTCGCGCGCGAAACGTGCTTTGTAAAGCTGATAATGCCATGAAGGGATCCCGGCCTGCTGTTGGGAAGTAAGCTTACATTCTAGGTAAAGACAAGTTGGCCTTTTGCCTTAGGCAAATTGGAACTCTGTGCTTTGGATAGGCCTGGCCACGGACATTCGCTGTTGAATGAATTTTTTCAAGAGCATCACCAGCATGTACCTTAGTGGAATTGTTGGGAGTGCTGGGGTTTGTGACGGCTGTTGAAATCGATGCTTGTTTTTGGGCTTAAGGGCCGAAGGTTTGAGAGTGCCTCAAGCTACAAGGCTGTGTTTTTCGAAAGACAAAATTGTTTTGGAAAGTTTCAAGCTGTGTATAGGATTGTATAGGCTTCATCCTTCTTTAACAACCCCACCCATTTGGTGAGGTCATGACCTGTGTGCCCCGGTACGATTTTTGAAAAAACGAGTCCCCAGTGACGAATCGCAAGCAGTGTCCCCCATAATATGTTTTCAAAAGACCAGGTGTCCAAACGATAAATCGCAAGCAGTGTCGCCCTAAAGCTATCAGAAAAAGTGAGGCCCCCAAGTGAGGAATCAAAAAGCAGCGCGCGTTCCCAGCTACGAGTAAGACGTGGAGAGCATAGCTCGACATAGTCGTATATTACACTGGTATAAAAATGTAAATCTCGGGTCTTTGCTTTCTGCTTTGGATTGGCCTGGCCGAAGACATTTTGCTTGTTGAATGTTTCTCCCAAGGGCATCCAGCATAATAACCGTGTTGGGAGACCTTTGGGAAGCATTTAGAAGCCGTGCCGTGGGAGGACAATTCTAGTGAGTTGGCTTGTGGTGGGGCCGCTTATGTGGATGTTACGATCGTATTGTGTGAATGGTGTTTTGTTTCGGGGGGAGGGTATATGTATAGCGCATGTTTCAGTACTGCCTGGATAAAGTGACTCGATCGCACGTGGAGCTACCTTGGCATTCAAGGGTTGTTGAACGAAAAAGGTTTGTTAGATTGGTCATAGGCACTTGGGGTTTATGAGTGAGGAGAATACTTCTGCAGTGTCAAAATGTTCGGGGTTTGCTGGCACGTACTTGTTGTAGTATTCCGGAATCGAGGCCTCGGTCAGGATTTCAAAATTGTGATGGTTGCCCTGAGGATTCAACCCTGTATGTCTTGAGGCTGAAAGACCGGCAAAACCATGGATCCATGGGGGGTTGAGGATGTAGTACAAGTACCCACCGTCTCTTACAACTTCCTGTGCAAAGTGTCACCGTTGTGGTTTTTTCGTGGTTTTTCGGCAGGTCGGCAGTGCAGGGCCACGGCAGCCGGGATCCATGAATTCTTGGGCCTGTGCTGTCGACAGAGCTTGCTCGAATCGGTGGCTTGGTAGTCGTCTTGGTAGTCGACGTCGACGTCGTCGTCGTCGTCGTCCTCGTCCTCGTCGTCGTCCTCGTCCTCGTCCTCATCGTCCTCGTCCTCGTCGTCGTAGTCGTGGTCGTGGTCGTGGTGGTGGTGGTGGTGGTGGTGGCGGTGGCGGTGGTACTGCTGCTGTTGCTGCTACTATTATTATTATTATTACTACTACTACTACTACTACTACTACTAGAATCGTCGTCGCCATAGAAACTGAACTGAACCCCTCAAGAAGCACAACAAGCCGAGAAGCCAACAACTGCCTTGAAAGGGCTCAACTGCTCCCCTCTATCTTTGCTTGTTTTTGTGGGGTCGCAGCTGCAAAGACTCATGTGCTGCCTCCACATCCTCGGTATCTGGAAGGATCCTCTAAAGCGCTTTCGGGAGATCAGCTCTGCACATATCAAGCATCACAAGCCAGAATTGAACCTGAAGCTGACGATGACGGAGCCTTCCGTTACATCCGTCCTTGGCGTAGGGCCACGGCAAGGCATTATACGAAGCAAACTCTACTTAGAGCTGTCACTGGGTGAACGAAACGATATGAACTCGCAGCATCTGCGATGTCCATAGAAACGTTCAAGTGGGATTTCGGGACTAGAGGATGTGCGGAGGCGGGCGCTGGGAAATTATATGATAATGTGGAGTGTGCATGGGGAACTAAATGACTCGAAAGACACAGGATGGACTTAGGGGCCACCATGATCATGTAAACCATCACACAGCAGCACTGTGTTGATACCTCGATTCCCATGACTTTTTTAGTGTGCCTCAAACGCCGTCAGACTGTTATTTGCCCTGCGCTGGTCACAGGCCCGAACACAGTGCAGAGGAGCTTAAGAACGCGCAGGGGCAGAATCAAAAGCTACCTGTCTGAGTGGGCTAGTATCTGCATCACAGTTGCTAAGCTGGGAGCCAAAACAATGGCTCGTATTGTTCTGAGTGGGCCAAATGGTTTTTGAGCTGAAAATTAAACGTCTCTGAAATTCTCTGAACCAGTGTACCATCAGTATGATGCTTGCAGTCCATGCATGCCCACACTGTGAACCCGGGGTGCTCTTGGACATGTCACAAAGGAGCCGGCACTTCCAGCATTCGCACTGGAATGTCCAATTGCTGCGCAAGGTCCCTGGCATGAGAAGCGCCACCCACTCCATACGACTTTAAAGGAATTTATTCTTTCTGGAACCTGATGAACTCGATTTCGAAGTCTTGACGATCGGTCCCACCTTGCAGAACCGAGTCCTCAGTACAGTTGTTGCGCTGGGCGAGGTGCACAGTTTGAGACCGTCTCAGGCACGCACCAAGTCGAATTTAGCCGGCAAGCCGCTCAACTTCAGCTCATCAGATACCTCGAGGTATGCCGGAATGTTGTCACGTCTGAGACCCCCTTTTAGCCACTACCATAGGATCCCTCATGAAACGAAAAGTCCCATTCGGAAACAGGAACCTCAATTGGGAGCAGCCCTCACATGGTTCCTGCGACGGGAAAAGCCAGGGAACAGCCGCAGCAGGGTCCAAAGTGTTCAACTCCGGAAGTGGTATGGGCCGGCAAAACCGATTTTCATCAGGCCTTCACAACTGGCGGAGGACATCTAGAACTGTAGAGGGCAAATCGTCGATCTTCGCAGACGAACCTTGTGTTTGGTGATCTGCATCGACCCTTTACGCACTCGCCCATCAGCACATCATAGAGCTCCGTGAAGTGGCAGTAGTTAGCCTCAAAAAAAGGGAGCGTGCAGCCTGCGCACAATGAAGCATCGAGAGCTCCGTCCTGACTGCCGGTGGAAAGCGGTTGTTGTTGCCCACCTGTTGCTTGATTCATGGCCTCCACCAAGACAGAAGCAAAAACGCGAAGCAAAGTTCAAACTCTCAACATATTAAGACTTAACAGGACTCCACAGGCCTGCTTCATCTCATCGGTTGGCCTTAGAGTTGCGAGTCTCACTTCCAACTTGGCGCCTAGGGCCTGTGGCTTGGTGAACTGCCTTGAAACGCATGTCAAATTTCTGAATCCCCTTTCATATCTAAGTGATTTTCAATTCCAAATGCTCTCCGGGGCTTCAGCTGTCCACCCTGCTGCGCAGGGCAACATTGCCCTCCTCGGAAGTTCAACATGTCATTTATCACAAGTCAAGGTCCGATCGGTGCAACTACTGTGCAAGTGCAGGACGAATGCATTTCCATCTGTACAGGAAGCCCCAAAACGCGTACGACACTCACACACACACACAGCGAGCTTTATGATGTTTCACACCATTTTCATGGCATCTGTGGTGTGGCGAGCGTCGCTGACACGAGAATTGCAAGGCATTGGCAAAATTCATCTGGAACTTATGCATTCCTGCTACGAGAAAGCGCTGCCAGACTCATACACCAAACGATGCATCTCCAATCATCTTGATACCCAAGATTATCCAAGCCGAAGACACGGCCAGACACGCTTCTCGTTCGGGTAGAGTGGGAGGGGCGATTTGGTGCGCAAAAAGACTACTACAAGTAAAGTCACTAAAGCACTCTCGCAAGCGTCGATCTTATGAGAGGAGCCCGAAGAGCCGCCAGATGACGAATCGCGTAACACGATTTCCACGATGCCTTGAAAGACAACCTTTCATCCTATCTCTTGATTACTTGAGTCATATGAATACTTCTCCATACTTCCCCTGCGTTCGAAAAGCCCAAAGCCCAATCGAAACTCCCCCCATCCTTGCAGCTGCCGGGGAGGTTCACTCGGCATCGGCCAACCTGCCACCGCTGACGTGGAAACCACAAGTATTTCAGTGCAGAAAACCACAGAAGACCCAAGCTACGAATATCATCGAGCATCACATGTCTCAAGATTGGCTACACCTGCCATGTGCCTTCAAGGCGGCGCTTCAGCAGCTGCTCCACTGCCTCACCGGTAGGCATCACCTCGAGCCTGGCTTCAGCTTGGCAATCTTGGGAGTTGAATGATGTCTCGTGCATCCAGAAGTTCATGGCGCCAGTGAATTTCACCGGCCTCCTCCTAAAGCATGGCATGCAGCCACCTGACGTGGATCATCCAGCAAGATCAGCAAGTTAATTCGTACTTGGATCAGAGTCGTCGCGAGTGCAACAGTGGCATGTGTAACTACAACTGAACTCATATTTCATGCACTCCCCTGCCCCGTCTGATTCGAAATTCCGTTGGTTCAGGTCAGGCTTGAGATTGGGAACTTCCTGCTGCATGCCTACCCAGCCTTCAGCCGTAATGTACATCTGTATAAAGGAAATACACACACAGATATATATATATATATATATGTCTATACATATACTCTCATCTTGCTTCCCCATGTGCCTACCTCTCTGTTGCCGAACACTGCAGGTAGTCATGTCTTGGAGGGTTTCCGGTTGAAAGTTCAGCTTTGCTAGTTAAAGTTGGGTTTGGAAGCTGAGTACGGCAGGAAAAGCAGTTGAGACGACCATCGTGAGCATCCGTTTGTACGTCAAAAATGCTCTGTACTGTTCAAAACAAGCCAATCTTTCTAAGAAAAAACAAACAAGAATGCGGTACTGTCAACAAGAAAACAATCTTTAAGAACTTCCAGGCCAGTTCATGCCTCGAGGCCTTTGAAGATCTTTGAAGATTGTGTGTTTGGGACAGTGCAGGGTTTTGGCAAGCGTGTGCTTTAAAATATTGGTTTGTTGTCCCAAAAACAACCCCCCAAAAAAAAAGAGAGAAAAGAGGAACCGATCGGAACCTGCGTGCCAACTTGTGGCCAACTTGTGTCTCGAGGTCTCTGAAGATTGCTTTTGGGCCTGTTTTTGGGACCTTGCAGCATTTTGGCAGCCCTTCCTTTACGTAAAAGATTGGTGTGTTGTGGACATTACAACACTTTGGAGGCCTCAGACTGCAAAAGCGCAGTACTGTCCCAAATTAACAAATCCGTTTCAGCAAACAGAAGCATAAATGCTGGACTGTCCAAGAACACAACCCAGTCAAGCACTTAAGCTTCAAGCTTGGGGCAACAGACAGATATGAAACTAGAAAGCACGACCATTGCGTTCCATGTGCAATTTAAATCAGGGACTAGTATAACTAGCCAAAAAACTAGCCCCTGAACGCCACGATTTGGCATAGCGCCGAATCCTAGTAGCTGTCCCTCACTACCATCGAATCTTCCCTGCCACTCAAGTCAAATTTCGACCACAAATGAATGTCTAGGTAAAGAAGGTGCAACCCTTTAAAGCTCACTCGATGAGACCATGTTTTCTCGCTGCAAGCCATCTGCTATTGCACTCAACGAATACTATGACTAACTCCAAATTACAAAAACCTAACCCCCAAATATAGCGATTATTTGGCACAATACCTGTCTATTCGAGCGTATAACTTTAACACTACATCATGTCTACAAGTAATTCTGTTAATCCTTTTTCAGAAATCCGCCGAGGCCTCGGGCCGAAGGTGTATAGGTTGTCAGAACAGTCGGACCCCTTTTTTTGCCAAAAATGGGTACCCCCTTCGGAGAGCAGGGGCCGGGATCAGAGGCAGTGGCAGCCCTTCCCAGCAGGGCCCCCCCTTTTTCGCCCCCTCCCCCCCCCTCCCCCCCCCCCCCCCCTCCCCCCCCCCCTCCCCCCCCCCCCCCCCCCCCCGTCCTCTCCCCCCCCAACCCCCCCTCCACCCTCCTACCCCCCCCCCCCCACAACCTACAGAACATTGGTGAGGCTCAACTGCTGTGAGCACGGCCTGGGACGCATTACACAAACCTTACCGAAGCACTCAACCCTCAAACCTTCAACAAACCCCCCCCCTCCCACCCTCCCCCTGCCCCCCCTTCCCCCCCCACCCCCCCTACCCCTGATGGGCTGGCTCCACCCTACGATTCTTGAACCCCACAGCCAAAAAACCCTAAACCCCAAAGCGTGAACCTTGAGCCCTAAGCCCTCAATCCTAAACTCACCCTCAACCCCAAACCCCAAACCATAAACCATAAACCCGGAACCCTAAACCCTAAACCCTAAACCCAACCCTTATTGCTTGGGGCCCAGCAACTTGGGCGCTGCGGAATCACCATGCTCACGCGGATGCGCTGGGCCGGGCCGAGGCGGGTCGCGTAGCGTTAAAATTATGTCCATTTCTTCCAAGGGGTGGGGAACTGCTGCGCGTAAGTGTTTTCTATAAGCTATACGTCACATATGTCGCTGCATTCCAGCGTCCGAAATGCCCATCGCTGCACACGGTCAATAATAAACATACATCCTTGCACACTACAGTATTGGCTTACGAAGAAAGGCATGGTTATATTGATACGTTTATGCAGATAATATGTGCATATCTTAATGGTGAGCTCTATATTTGGACGCTAACAAAAATGACGCATTCAGCGCATCACACGTTACAATCGGGTTCTTGCATTATTTATGAGTTATTAACAACATGATGTCCAAGAAAATTTCGGTCGAGTATACAAATATTTAGATATGACAAACGGGACTGTTGTTGCAATGACAGACTTAGCTTCACATGATCATATTTAGAACTAGTAGTAATGAACAACATAACATTTTTCTGGTTTCCGCCTACTGGCGGACTAAAAAAAGCAGCAGATCTCGCCAGTTAAAAATATCCGTATCTTCGATACATTTTGAACTGACATAAACTAACTTCTTTTAAGCCTCTAATAATCGCATAAGCTTCTGTGGACAGCATATTTGGATGTTCATAATATAACGCAACATCGCAGACTATGCACATATAGTTCAAGCGTAAACATATGAAAGCTCACCAACCAATTTTTGTCTTACGCAAGATTATCATATGTTCCGTATGCACTCAAGATCTCTAGCTTGGGCGGCGATCCGTGCACCCAAACTGTGAACAAGTTCTACAAGTAAGTTGCAGATTCGGCAGCAGCCCTTCGAAACTCAATCGTCTTCGCGAATTCCGTGCTAAAAGCAGTCGTGCTCTGTTTCCGCCGTCGAGCGCCACAGTTTGTAAATTTGTGTCTTGCATGAGCACACCATAAACAGCCATTGGTTCAACACATGTGTTCAAAACAAAAGAAAGGTAGGAAAGGTAGGCGCGTGGGGGGGGGGGGCAGCATATGTGTATATATACATACATTTATATATATATGGTACCCCCCCCCCCCCCATATGCCCACACTTTTTCCTCTCAGGTGCCATGGTCGGGTCTAGAGGCTTAGGCTTTCGAAGCCTCCTAGGGCAGCGAGCACGAAAGCGCTCAACTGTACTAACCAATGTTTTAAGCCCAAAAGAGCAAAAAAGCTGTACTGTCCCAAAAAAAAACAATGTTTTTAAGCCAAAACGAGCAAAAATGCTGTACTGCCCCACAAAAACAAAAAAACCAAAGTTTGGAGAGCTTGGGCTCCCCCAGGGCCTGGAGGTCTCCAAACTTTGGTTTTTTTTGGTTTTTTTTGGACAGTACAGCAGTTTTGCTCGTTTTGGCTTAAAAACATTGGTTTTTTTGGGACAGTACAGCACTTTGGAGGCCAGGGACTGCAAAAATGCCGTACTGTCCCAAAAAAACCAATGTTTTTAAGCCAAAACGAGCAAAAATGCTGTACTGTCCCAAAAAAACCAAAAAAACCAAAGTTTGGAGACCTCGAGGCCGTGGAGGAGCCCAAGCTCTCCAAACTTTGGTTTTTTTGGTTTTTTTGGGACAGTACAGCATTTAAAAAGATTAGTTTTTTTGGGGACAGTACAGCACTTTGGAGGCCAGGGACTGCAAAAATGCTGTACTGTCCCAAAAAAACCAATGTTTTTAAGCCAAAACGAGCAAAAATGCTGTACTGTCCCAAAAAAACCAATAAAACCAAAGTTTGGAGACCTCGAGGCCGTGGAGGAGCCCAAGCTCTCCAAACTTTGGTTTTTTTGGTTTTTTTTGGGACAGTACAGCATTTAAAAAGATTAGTTTTTTTGGGGACAGTACAGCACTTTGGAGGCCTGGGACTGCAAAAATGCCGTACTGTCCCAAAAAAAGCAATGTTTTTGAGCCAAACCGAGAAAAACTGCTGTACTGTCCCAAAAAAACCAAAAAAACCAAAGTTTGGAGACCTCCAGGCCCTGGAGGAGCCCAAGCTCTCCAAACTTTGGTTTTTTTTTTGTTTTTTTGGGACAGTACAGCATTTTTGCACTTTTTGCCCTAAAAAGATTGTTTTTTTTGGGACAGTACAGCACTTTGGGGGCCTGGGACTGCAAAAAAACGCTATACTGTCCAGAAAAAACTAATCTTTTAAGCGGATTCACATTATTCTATACAGGATTCCTGTTGGTTCCTATTCATTTTAGTAAGATTCACACTTTAACAGGATTCCTATGAATTATAACCGGTTCTTTTCAATTTGGAAAGGGTTCCTATTCATTTTAATGGGCTTCCTATTAACTTTTATCGGTTCCGCAAAATATTGGCAGGATTCCTATGACTTTTCCTATTTATTTTTATAGGATTCCAATAAACTTTCATAGGGTTCCTAATTATTCTAATAAGGCTCCTACTAATGTAATAAGAGTCCTATCAATTTTAGGGTCCTTATTCATGTTAACGGGATTCGTATTAATTTTAATAGGGATCTCATTCGTTTGAAAGGGATTCGTATTGGTTTAGGCTCATATTCATGTAGTAGGATTTCTATTAATTCTTGTTAAAGGAATCTTATTTTGTTCATAGGAGCCATATTAGTTCCTATTAATCTAAATAAGAATCCTTCTCATTTTAGTAAGATTCCTATGAATTACCACCGCGTTCTTTTTGATTTGTTAAGGTTCATTCTAATAGGCTTCCTATTAGCTGTTATCCGAAAACAACTTGATTCAATGAAAGACTCATACGTATTTTCATAGGATGCAAATAAAGTTTCATAGGGTTCCTAGTTGTTTTAATAAGGCTCTGATCGGGTTCCTATTCATGTTAATAGGCTTCCTATTAACTTCTTATACATTCCTATTTTCTGTTTATAAGACCCAAAAATTTTCATAGTTTGCCTAATTATTTTCATAAGGCTCCTACAAATGTAATATGATTCCTATCAATTTTAAATAGGAATCTGTCATTTGAATAGGGTTCGCATAGAATTTAATGGAATTAAGGGTTCTCATTCATGTCTAAGGGTTTCCTTTTCATTTTAATCAGATTCCGATTAAAACAAAATGAATCCTATGAACCCCATTAAATTTGATAGGAACGCTATTCCCATGCATAGGATTTCTATTTAAATTCATAGCATGCAATCCACAATCTCGAGCAAATTGTTCAGGTCACTTCTGCTGGAGTTTTTATGGGAGTCCCTCCCCCCTTTAAAAGCCACCGCGCATGGCGGAACGTAGTATTTTTCTCTGGAAACCATGCTGAAGCGGGGGGGGGGGGGGGTAGCATATATATATATATATATAAATATACATATATATATATATGTATATACACCTTTCTGAGTATCCGATACGCCTGGCCTCCGTCGCCTGCTTCTGGACCTGAATGACCACCCTGACCTTGGTCCTGTGTCGGTGGCACGGAGTGCCCTCCGTGCCCTCCGGGCCCGGGCCCGGGCTGTACTCCTCCACCTCCCGCTGGCGGCATTCCTGGCATGACTGATGCTTCCTCTAGGTGATAGCTTCTTTTACCTCATTAACATGACTGGGTCCTGGGCGATCCATACCTGGACCTGGCCCTGGCAACAAACCAAGCAGTTTAGAAGTAACACAGCCGAACACTCGTGCTCTTTGCACAACTTTGCCTCCGGAACCGATATGTGGGGGCTGTCCAGGCCCGCCTGGAGTGCGCTGGCTTGGCACAAATCCCCAGAAGTCTGCTTACACTACCCCACTCTGCACAAGATTCTTTGGAAGAACTCCCGAATGGCTGAATGCTTGGCTCCCTCACCTTGTCACTAGCGCTCAATGAATAATATGCATGTAACATGTTGTATGATCAAGCTACTACAATACTACATGCTTTATCATGTTGCACGCGCCTGGACCCGGGCCGGGGCCCCCAGGGCCTGGACCGCCCGGCTGGCCTCCACCTCCTGAGAACAAACCCAACACATTCACCGATGCAATCCGACACAGCATGACACGGCAACACTGCAGGCCGTTGCAACAATGCTGCGACTAACCCATCTCCATCTCCCATCCATTTTGCACATGCAAGGTGGTCCTAGAGCAAGCTTCAGCTCTTCCAAGCTGATCTGCTCGTCGCTGTTCTGGTCATACACTGCCTTAACCATCGTGCTGGGATGTGCTGAAAACTTCACCTGAACTGAAAGAGGTCTACCTGAGTCTACTGCACCTCTGACTGTGGCATCCTGCAGCAGCTCGGCCACGTACCCAGCTGCTATCCAGTGAGAAAGTGGCCGAGCTGGTCCCTGACATGCGCTTAACACACAATGGGCAAGCAAGGCAGAGCAACACTCCTTTATCTCCTAAACTCTGCGGCCTTTATGGCCGTGTTCTCCAGATCTGGCACTGATTCTGGGTTATGTTCTCCAGCTCCAAGACACGGTCCAGCTTTCAGACAGGATTTTGACAGAGGCAATCATATGTAACCGCTAAAAAGAACTGGGTGAGAGACGTGAACGCCCCATGTAAACCGTGATATCAGGCTTTCCTTGTCGGTCCAATTCGTTTCAAGACGTTCTTAACATTTAATGGCTTTTATCTGTGCTTTTTGTGTCTTTCACTGTTTTTTCATTTCGATGGGTGGTCAGTTTCCTGTAGACAACTTTCTATCTTATGGATTACATTCTTACCTTCGTATGTTCAGGTGTCTTATCCGCTTCGCTCATGCACTTGCAATGTTGATTACTATAGTTCCAAGGGAAAGATATTAATTTTGTGCACATCTCAGCTGCTCGTCTTGAGAATCTGATGTGCCTGCTCACTGCTCATGGTTGGGAACCCCCTCAGCGACCCCGATCTTTCCCGCCAGAAACCAATGGTTCCCTACCGTTGAGCCGACCTGTCCGTGCCGTCGTTTTGCTTTCAATTCCTCGTGCCCTTCCCCTGACTTCCCTGACCTCGACATTTCGCCCTCCATGATCACCGCCTATGGTCCGCCCCAAGCCGCCCCAAGCCGCCCTGGTCCCTCTTCTTCCCCGGCCGGCTTGCACCCGAAAAATGCGCGTTTCTTCCACGGCTATCCTATACGATCCTCGACGGCATGGTGTTTTGGGGCGCCGGTTCGGTGAGCATCATGAGCCCGGGGCCTGGGTGTTTTCTGCAGCCGGCTTTCTCTGCGTGCAGCAACATTTCCGCTTTGTGGGAGGTCTTACCGAGTGGCACGTGTCGGCATGTCCGCGCAGTTTTCGGAGCCCGCCGTTTCTTAGAAACACACGTGCTTTTTCTGATCTTGTTTGAGCCCGTAGGTTAGGGCTTATGATGGTTTAGGGTTTCCTGGGGTGGCGTGAGCCGGTAATGGCGCGCACTTTTTGGAGTCTACATTTTCCAAGTTCATTTTTGGAGCCTGCCGTAAACCCTGGCTACTGCCTGCGCTGCCCGCCCATGGGCGAAGCCCCTTGAGGAAATAAAACATGAAACAGACATAAAGGAATGTGATATAGTGTGTGTATCAACAAGTCTTGCAGGCTTGAGAATTGGTCACAGGATCTCTCAAGGCTGTGCAGTTGTTCTCCAAGGTAGGAAGATATCGGAAGCGACAAAACCTAAGAAAAGGCACCATGATCACAAAAAGTGACCCCAAGACACCCAGTCACCTAGCTTCAAGAGCTCATGCTGTGCCACTTGGGGAACGGATGGGCGGCAGGGCAAGCATACTCTGCACTGACATGAAAGTACCACACATAGATGCATGGGGGCCTGTCCCTGTTCCTGATCCAGTTCCGGTTCCGCTGCTGCTGCCGGTTCCTGATCCCGTTCCGCTGAAGCTGCCAGTTCCTGACCCTGTTTCGCTGCTGCTGCCGGTTCCTGTTGTTCCTCCAGTGTTCGTTCCAGTGCTGCTGCCTGTTCCTGTCCCAGTTCCGCTGCTGCTGCCTGTTCCGGTGCTTGTGCCCGTGCTGCTGCCAGTGCCTGTGCTGGCTCCGGTGCTTGTACCCGTGCTGCTGCCAGTTCCCGATCCTGTTCCGCTGCTGCTGCCTGTTCCTGTACTGCTGTCCGTTCCGCTGCTACTGCCAGTTCCCGATCCTGTTCCGCTGCTGCTGCTGCTGCTGCTGCTGCTGCTGCTGCTGCTGCTGCTGCTGCTGCTGCTGCTGCTGCTGCTGCTGCCCGTGCCTGTGCTGGCTCCGGTGCTTGTACCCGTGCTGCTGCCAGTTCCCGATCCTGTTCCGCTGCTGCTGCCTGTTCCTGTACTGCTGTCCGTTCCGCTGCTACTGCCAGTTCCCGATCCTGTTCCGCTGCTGCTGCCTGTTCCTGTACTGCTGTCTGTTCCGCTGCTGCTGCCAGTTCCCGATCCTGTTCCGCTGCTGCTGCCCGTTCCTGTGCTGCTGTCCGTTCCGCTGCTGCTGCCAGTGCCTGTACTGGCTCCGGCACTTGTGCCCGTGCTGCTGCCAGTTCCGGATCCTGTTCCGCTGCTGCTGCCCGTTCCTGTACTGCTGTCTGTTCCGCCCGTGCCTGTACTGGCTCCGGTGCTTGTACCCGTTCCTGTTCCGCTGGTTCCTGTGCTGCTGTCCGTTCCGCTGCTGCTGCCAGTTCCCGATCCTGTTCCGCTGCTGCTGCCCGTCCCTGTACTGCTGTCCGTTCCACTGCTGCTGCCGCTGCTGCTGCCAGTGCCTGCGCTGGCTCCGGTGCTTGTGCCCGTGCTGCTGCCAGTTCCCGATCCTGCGCCGCTGCTGCTGCCTGCGCCTGTGCTGTCTCCAGCGCTCGTGCCGGTGCTGCTGCCACTTCCTGAGCTGCCGGTTCCTGTTCCTGTTCCTCCTCCAGCGTTTGTTGATTCACTTGCACTGGTGCTTGTTGTGGATGTAGCTGTGGTGGTTGTAGTGCTGGTGCTTCGCGCGCGTGACATAGTAGTGGGTGCAGGTCCACCTGTGGTTTCGGTGGTGGTCGTGGTGGTGGTGGTGGTGGTGGTGCTGCTGCTGCTGCTGGTGCTTCGTGCTCGTGACCTGGTAGTGGAGGGCGCAGCTTCATCTGTGGTGGTGGTGGTGGTGGTGGCGGTGGTGGTGGTGGTGGTGCTGGTGGTGGTGGTGGTGGTGGTGGTGGTGGTGGCGGCGGCGGTGGTGGTGGCGGTGGTGGTGCTGGCGGCGGCAGTTGTTGAAGTTATTGCGGTTGTGCTTGTGGTGCTGATACTGGTGGCGGTGGCATCGGTGGCGGTGGTAGTGGTGGTAGCGGTGGCAGCGGTGGTGGCGGTGGTCGTGGTCGTGGTCGCGGTCGCGGTCGTGGTGGCAGCGGCGGCGGCGGCGGCGGTGGTGGTGGTGGTGGTGGTGGTGGCGGTGGGGGTGGTTGTGGTGGTTGTGGTGGTGGTGGTGGTGGTGGTGAGTAGGACTGGGTTCGTGCTGCCGGTAGTGGCGGTAGTTGTGGTGGTCGTTGCGGCGGTTGTGGTGGCCACAGTCGTTGTGGTGGTTGTGGTCGCGGTTGTGGACGTCGGTGGCATCGCCGAGGTTCCGGGGGTTGTGGGGGTTGTGGGTGCAGCAGGTGTGCTTCCGGTGGTGGTGCTGGGGGGCTCACCGCCAGACCCAGCCGGAGGTCCTCCGATCTCAACAGACAATTTCCCCTCTGAAAAGGTGCCAAAATGTGCTCGCATTGCTGACAAGGAGTACAATGCTGCCGCGCTGCCTTCTAGCCGACGCTGCAAACCGTCCTGGCAACTGCCAAGCGCAACGCAGGGAAGCCCCATGCTCGTGCCAGGCACATGACTCTTGCCGCACGTGACTGGAAGCATGCAGGGAAGAAGGCATCATCAAGGCCATTCATGTCTCCTCAGGCCAATACGGCCACCATCCGAGTGCCTATCATTTTCCTGCATGAAGGCTTGGTCGCCTTCATGATTGCGAGTTGAGTGCTTGAATATGATTGAGCTTTTTGGCTTGCTAGGCGTTGCGTATTTGGCCATTTAGCCAATCTAGATTCTGTACGAGCCGACCCCAAACACCGCTATGCAGGGATTTGCCTGATGCTTGGCCGGTGCTTGGCGAATCGTTCCTCCACCCACTTGGCAAGTGCTGCAGTTGGCAAGCGCTAGCAAGTGTTGGAAAGTCACAGAGTCACAGCTTTGGAGAAATCGTCCCTGATCATCCCTGATCTGTCATCATCGTTCGACATGGAGCCCCCGCACAACGGATGCGTGCGGTGGATGCGCTGGCACAAGTAGCAATGTGGACGCAATCCTCATTCGACCGTGGATGGATGGAAGCAGTGGATGTGCTGGCCATCGCTTGACAACATGGATGCTCCGCTCAACAGATGGCTCACTTCGGCCGCTTGCGTCTCTTTGCACTCGAGAGCTTGCCTTTGCAATGCTTCACGCCCATTGACGGAATTCCTTTATCAACAAACCCTCGGCGACACACACACGTTTTAACGAGTTTACATGGATGTAGTATGACTTCATGAACCCTCGTTCAGCACTTTTCCTTCGTTTCAGCCTTAAAATGCTGTTTCCTGACTTTGCCTGGCAACCTCCCCCCTATCCTCTTAGACAAGATCAATGCCCATTCCCAACTGCATCACAGTAAACAGATCCTTGCAGAGAATCTTGATCAAGTCCTGCCTCCATCAAGAAGACATTTTCAAGCAACACGGAGTACGGCCGTGAGGGATTCCTGCTCACACAACGATCACATTCTGCATCACAACAATTCCACCCCAGCAAATCACAACATTCAAAATTCCATGCACTTTGCACACTTCGTACACGGATGCTGGACATGGAGCCCGTTTTGAAGTTGGCCCTGCTTGCCTGAAACATTCTAGTACCTTCTAGTACGTTCTACTACATTCGTACATCTCAACAACATCTGCTCACTTGATCTCACGTGCCTGTTTCGGTCCAGGAACGCGCCCTCTGGTAAATCAAGCACAGCCTCCCGAAAACAGTGTCATGAAATTGACTGTCATCTGCATGTCAGAGCAGACGTGCCTGACAGGCATCAGACACGAGGCAACCTCAGTTGCTTGTTTATGCTTGTTTACGGCCGAGGCCCACCGCGGCCCTGGTCCGCTTGTGTGCAGTCGCCAGCATGGAAAATTGCAAGTGGCAGTCTCGTTTCTGGCTGCTTCTGCATGCTGTGCCGGCTGGCAGATGCTTGTGATTGCTTGTGATTGCTTGTGTGTATGCACCTAGAGACTGGTGATGCCAATAATGGACGATTTGACATCCCATGTGGTACAACGGCGTCCTGAGCCCTAAACAAAGAACCAGGATCTTTTGGCTCCTGACTGTCAAAAATAGAAACTTTGCATTCGGACGCTCGTAGTTCCTCTTCAAACTCTTGCTTTTGACATGCGGCACCTTCCTGAACCAGGAGCACTCAGTCATGCTGCCGCCCATAAGTCGCTTAAGAATTCAAAGATTACATCTGGCTAGAATCCCCGGGGCCATGTATGCAGTTTTGCGAGAAGCACATGCAGGAGTGCGACTGATCGCTCCTGTGTCAGCACTTTCAGCTTCTCCAGGTGTACTCCATGCCATATCGGCGGCGATTGAGAAAAAATGGCTTGCACAGCTTGTAGCATGTGTCACGGGTCGGTTGGTTTGCATGCTGGTAACTGCTGGTAGGCGCAAGAGGGATGACCCTGGCGGAGGTGGTCGTTAACTTCGGATAGTTTGACGATATTTTGCTGTCGATGGTTGAAATGCGAACAGCAAGCTTGCGCAGCTTCGATCGGCTCAAGCAAACGGTTGGGGGGATGGCGCCACCCATTGATCTGCAAACACAATGTGGGCAGGACGGGCTGTGAAAGGAGTCATATGGGTTTACACGCTAATGATGTGCCCAGCCCCTCCGAGAACATAATCAGGCAGGTGGCACCGCGCATATCGGCCGAGGTGAGTTTCTTCTTGTCAGAAGTTAATACCAGTCATGTGCACCACTGCATCCAAGCCAACACCCTCCAGCACAACACTTAGGCCCGCAACAGCCATACAACTTTCATAGTTACGTAGATTCCCCGTAGCAAGCTTGGCCTGTACGAATTGGTAGATGCAGCAAGCCAAAACCGCCGAGACAGCGGAAGAACATGGGGACGTTGATTCATTGGAATGGCTGGCGCCGGGAGGCTTTCTTCATGGAGAGTTGAGTCAAGAAACGGCAACAGCCTGGCACTCAATCAAGATCTTGTCGCTCACTCACCCGGGGCAGCTGAGACTCAGCCAAGCCGCCATGAACGGCGAGGACCAATTGTATGCCATGCACTAGTGGAACGAATTGCTCTAAGGACACTTGGACACCAAGACACCAAACCTGGCAGTAACTAAGGTTCCCAGATGCATCGTGACAGATTCCAGGACTGTCTTCGACAAAATGTGCACGGAAGTGCTGGTAGCCAGAAGCGCCGAGACATGCCCAAATTTTGAACTGTTGAGCTGAACATCAACGTCAGGGGGCCCACATGGATGCACGACCGACCAACAGCCGCACCAAGTGCGGAGAGAAAAAAGGGAATTGCAACTGTTCACAGGATGAACAGTAGTTGGCGATAGTTGGCGCATACTTGAAGATGAACACTGGGACAGACTGGGGCAAGGGGGCAAGCAAGTCTTCAAGACTTGAGTGCTCTTGCGTGAGAGATCAGAAGGCTGTTCAGAAGGCTGGTTAGAGCACGCAAACTCGGGCAAAAAGATCGGCTGAGCCAAACGTCCTCGATTGTGAGGAGCATATAAGGTCACATAAGTTGGTGGTGGAGGCCCTGCCAAGTTCAAGGATCTATGGATCAACGACATGTCCAAACTAAAGAGTAGGCTACTGTATCTGAAGTCTTTCAAAGACTCGAACAGAAAAACGGCTTTCTGCTTCGGCACAGCACAACGCCAGCGATGGATGTGCGCCTATGACAAGGTGTCTGGAACTTGATCATGTAAGCTTCCGACGTCCCACGAGGAGCTGCTCACGGATGTGAACAATAGCTGCCTTGCCTCTGGCCTGTTGCAGTTCTTGCGAAGATGTTTGCAGTGGAAACATGTGGAATCTGGCCAGCGTGCCAGGTGCATCTAATATGCAATCAGGTGGGCATGCGCTTGTACGCACAGCTATCCTCCACAAAGACCTTGCCGCGTGCGAGGTCCACCTCTACGACGAAATTGGCGCATGCTCCGTGCAACCAAGCTTGCTGCAACTTGCTGGACGCAACAAAACATTGGTCGGTCTGACGCCTCCAGGAGCTTTATGCCCAACTCTGGCCTCCGAGTACCAAATTGGAAACGGACACAGCATGCTGCAGAGTACAACTGCTGCATTTCGAGCCTGTTCTCAACAGGAATAACTCGGAGGGAGGCCAGCATGGCACGCTTGGCCTGCACATGGACCGTGGCGACATTTTCGTGTCCGGAAGGTCTGCAAGGACGGGGTAGCGATGGGCGGCGCACCTTTTTAACCCATTCAGTGAAAACTAGCCGCACCTCACCCTTTCCATCAATCCTGGGGAAGGTGGAAACATGTGAAACGCAAAGGGACACTTCTGCGTAGGAATGAGGAGCCCGCACTTCCGCGTGCGTAACCTCCGGAGGCACCTAGCTGCGAAGTGCCATCCGAGCTGTCGAAGCTGGCATTGATTGGCATTGCGATGCACAGCGCACGTGATCTTCTGCTGCCAGTCGTGCCAGCACCTCCATTGCACTGCCTGGAAACCCAGAGCTTCACACACTCGACGCTATTCAAGCCTTCCTTTTCTGCCTGGACGCTGCGCGTGGAATGAGCTTATGGTCCGCAGGTCCTCGGTAGATCCTTTCGCCTCCAATCAAGGCCAGCAAAAGAGACAAGATCAACAATTCCAGAAAGCTGCCTCCAAATCCAAAGGATCTTGCAGGCTCGAAACCATGCCTGTCCAGCACTGAGAAGCAAGAGACATCAAGATTGATCCGCTGGGCCTCGTATCTCAGCTCTAATCCCCTTTATTGCCCCCCCCCCCCCCAACCCACCCCCCATCGCATCTCGCGTGCCTGCAACAGCATCCCCAAAAGGGAAGAAAGCCTCTCAAAGCCCTGAAGCGCAGAAGCACCTTCACACCCGCGATCAGCCCACAATTCTTCGCACCACGCAGGCCCAGGCCGAGGCAGTCGCTTTCGTTAAGAGAACAGGAGTTCAACGATGCCGCTTTTTTGTCCCAGCAGTCCTGGGGTAAGGCCGTCTGTCCAAGCCAGGAGCCGAGAACCTGCAAGCATCTGTGCACAATGCATGAGCGTCGGCGCAGCCCGCAGCCCTTTCTGCCAAGATGCCATCACTCTCATTTTGAATCCCGAACTTCTCAAGATCCTCGTGGTTTCAAAGCACAAAAGATGACATGCAACGGACGACACCTCTGTTTTCCAAATGTTCCAAGAGCTGCGCGAAGAAGTCTGGGTCGCGAAAATCCAACGGGTTGGCATCCGTAATGTTCGCAGACATGACCACAGTCTGCAGTCGGAACCAAAGTTGCTGCAAGCCGGCATGAGGCCAGCATTCCGGGCTCGAGCATGAGCCTCAACCACTGTGCCCCGGTCGTGTCTCATGCGCACCGGGCCGGCGAACGCGAGAACCTGCACAAAGCAATCCGATAATCCCAGGATCCAAGAGACAGCTGACGGCGCCATGCAACATGGCTGTCGGGGCCTCCAACTTTTCTCGCTGCCAGTGATAGAGAGAAGTCTGACGAATTTTTGACCTCGGGAAAGAATTCACAAACGATTACCCATGCCATGCCATCACTTAGCGTGACTCCAAAAGAGTGCAGGCTCGACACTTGTCCCACGTTGGAGTAGCATCTGAGGGCTTGCAGAATCGATATCGCGAGACATCCTGACAACATGCTCCAGCGCTCCCTTGCATCTTTCAGTTCTCTACGTTGGCTCCTGTACTGCCACCTGGCAAGTTGGCAGGAAGCTCAGCTGCTGAATACTCAGAATGGGAGCCTTGGAGAACAGATCCAATGACCAGATGCCAGCCGACATGATGTCAAGCGCACTACAGCTGGAGAAACAGATTCTGAAAGCTTCCGACTGTTGGTAAATCGTATTCCTCGAAGACGATGCTCACCTGGAAAGAACGAAACGGATCACTTGCACAAATGTCTACCAGTCTACAATCTTCCATATCTGCAATATCAATTACCCTTCAGCGCCTGCCTCATTGCTCCCTGTGTTGTTAAGCGTGATTGCGCCCGTCATATTCTTGCCTCGTGCGGAGAAGCGGCTCCATCTTTCCACATCTATTGGGGCCGGTGTGTTGGTGCATTGTCGACCAAAGGAGTCTAAGAATGTAGCATCCGAAGCACGTGTCGGTACCTCCAACATCAACAGATGTGGAGCCAGTGCTGGGTTCTCAAGGTCGCGCTAAGAGCGGAGCGGCCGACAACGTCGTCACTGGCAACCCAGCCTGAAGGACTTCTTGGTATGTCAAAAGCCATCTTTGCAAGGACGTCCTGACTGTAAACATTTTCGAGCATCGCACAACAATTTTCCGGGCCGTAGGTGTCTGGGTAGCATAAAGCAGGTGTAACCTCCAATCCCTTCCCCCCACACCTCATGTGCCACTTTTTTTGCTGAACTTGGTACCCCCTCTAGCCGACAGGTGTGCGGGAGCCGAACGTGTATCAGGACCAGCAACATTTTGGGCTCAGAGCCAAAGCTCAGCCCCAGCAGCACCCATCTGGCCCCCGGCCCCCACCCCCTCTATTGCTTGGACCCGTTCGACTGGTTTGTGGGGACCGTGCCCTTCCAACTACCCCCTCACCCCGAACGCGATGCAAAGCTCAGCACCTTTTTTTTGTGTGAGCTGAATCGTCGCAGTTACAGGCACGCCACCGTGCAGGCCCCTGCCGAGGCGGATCGCGTAGCGTTAAAATTACATTCGATGCCACTGCAGCCTTGCATTCTACACATGTTATGTTCTCTACATGAGGCATCTCTACATGAGGCATCATGAAGCATTCTCCACGTGCCACGCAGGCCATGCAAGCCATGCTGGCTGAAGCTGGGAGCAGACCGGCCCTTGTGAGGCCTTGCACCTCCCCTTATAAACGTGGGGTATCGTGGAGGAGAAGGGTGCCTTAGCACGCCTGGAACTTGCAACAAGGTATACCCGTACAAAAACATTCGGATGGGGCTTCCTGACGATTGCACTTCTGCGGTGCTTGAGTCGGTTTCCACCCTCCGGACCCCGCGCAACGCCACAAGGCAGTTCTAAAGGTGCTTGTGCTGGTGCTGACTGCTTTCTCAGTGAGTCGGACGCAAGTGCATGCAAGCCCCAGCTATGTCCCATCCACATGCGTAATTGACAATGCCTCTCTGGAACATCTGGGTCCATGACTGTCAAGTTCCGTCGAGGAATTTGCCACAGCCCAGAAGTATATGACGTCAGCGAAGTTGCCATTCACAAACACGTAGGCCTCAGCAGCGATCGTGTTGGAGCCCCGCAGGTTCGCAGAAATATGGGCAGAGGTAACCAGAAAAAAACCATCATTCCAGGCACATGGACCCTGGAATAACTTGGACCAGCGCTGGGACAAAGGAGCAGTTCGTGAGAAGCAGCCGCGGCGGGCAAGCGGCTGAAACAATGCCAGTCTGCAGGGCGTACCTCGACAGAACGGCTCCGGTTTTTCTGAAAAGACCGTTGGCCTGTTCGTGCTGACATGCTCTGGATCCTGTAATCTCTTCCACCATGCAAGATTCTCTGAACATTCTGAAGCACGGAAAGACTTCAGGCTCCTCCACGTCATATGCCAGTTGGAGGTCAACGCGGTCGAGTTGACGTCCAGAGAAACGTCGAGTGACAGAACCTGTGCTGCGTCATGCTGCATCATGCTGCATCAGGCTGCATCATGTTGCATCATGTTGCATCATGTTGCATCATGTGAATCTGACCCACGAAACCGACTATGTGGACGCAAGTGTTCGTGGCTCTTTCCAAGTTCAGAAGGAGACATGTAAGGATCAACCACGTGGAAACTGGGCAGCCCGAAGCCGTTGGACATAAGAGGCTTCCAAAGAGGAAGCACGTACATTAGCACAAAACGTAGCACGTTCTAAAGTGTGGGCAAGGCAAGCTGCAACTTGAGACGGCTGTGTACGTGTCTCGGAATGTTCCAGTATATACACATATGTACACATATGACACAATATGACATACACACTTACTTGGATTTGCACTTCCACTTCCACTTTTATTCCCATCTTCAGCTTCGCCTGAGCCACACCCACTACCTACACGCCTCATAGAAATTAATTCTCTAATCACAGACATGAAGTTACAACTCTCTGCACCAGCGGATCCTTTGCTAGGCACTGAGTCACGTGCCCTCAGCCCCACTTGTTCAGAAGTCCACTCTGTGGTCCAGTTGCTACTGTTGTCAGAATACGGCCTCAGCGACCGACAGAACCACTGTCATCACCAAATGCGTGAAAGCTTAGGAGCACATGTCTGAGCTGGTGGCCAGGATGAGTTTCGGATGTTCACATACTGGCTGTACCTCATCCAAAGCCCAAGGGAGGGTCCAGGTTTTGTTTTTTCCCCCCGTATGTTTTGCTTCTGGTTCGCTCGCAAATACTGTAAATAGCAGTTCTGAGACTGCAGAGGCCGCACATAATGTAAATAGCAGCATGTCTGAATTCTCAGAACCGAGCCTTTGCAAACTCAGAACTGCTGCTGTTTGCAGTATTTGCAGCTTCGCAAACTCAGACATGCTGCTATCTACGGTATTTGCAGACTGTGCAAGCTCAGAAATGCTGCTTACTGTAAATAGTAGTACATTATGCAAATTTCCAGCCTCGAATACTCGGCAATGTTGCCGAAATAAAAAAACACCAAAGAATGAAAATACGAGAGAGAAAAACAACCAGCCCCCGAGGGACTTCGACCCGAGCAAAGTAATGCCGGGGATCCTATTCTTCGGACCCGGAGTTTCCTGGAGTCTGCCAAGCAAACCTCTAACCCGACAACGTCTTGAGACCCACATGCTCGCACGGCCTCGATTGATCGCTGTGCAGGGGGATCTGCCCTGCCAGTGTTGCCTCCAGCTTGCGAGCTACACGTGGAACAATACTTCCATATATTGAAAGGCTGGCAAATGCTTGCGAGAGGTCAACGGGAGGTCAACTCACACCTTTCAGCAATCTAAAGGACAGCAGAACGGCTGACTCGAGCGGGTTCCTGACGCTCTGGCTTTTCGGGCACGATTACCCCCCACCCCCCCCTCCGCCATCCCCCGCACGCCGGTTGCCGATGCGCAGTTCCTGATTCGCCCTGGTCTCTGGCGCGCAGTTCCTGATGCGCCCTGGTTTTGATGCGCAGATCTTTATGTGGCCAAAATGGACTTGTTGCGATTGTCGCGCTGGCTTCTGGTCATAGTTTTCTGGTTCGAAGGCACCTGTCCGCGGAGCATCCGTCACCAGAACACATCACCTTGTTTGGATCTGTCGGTGGGATAGGCCACAAGCCTTCTGCTGGATTCGAACACTAACCCGGATGTCATTGGGGACGGTCGACAGAAAAAAGTCAACAACCACCATCGAAACCAACCCGCATGCGTTAAAGGGCGCTGACAAGATAGTTAGCCACGACCTCTTCAACCGGCTGTGTATCGATCTTCTCCACTGTCAGATACTGTCAGCAAAGAGTCTCGAAGCTTCAAGCGTTTCAGTGGACAAGTGTTTCAGTGGGCATTGCTTGGCGTCATGCTGCCACAATTCAGAAAGCATTGCTGTCCACTTTTGCAGCGAAAAGGGCGTGCTGTTGCAAACTCATGAACACGCCAAAACACGCCAGTTGGGCCTGCAACACGGAGATCTCCAGCCCCTCATTTGCAAGGAGTGGCCGTGCCTAGGCCCCAAGAATTACGGATGTCTGAAATGTGAAGGTAAAGGATGGCCAAGGCGCACCTCTTCAAAGAAGGGTGTCTCCGGGACATGTGCCGACAGCTTCGTGGAGTTGACACTGGTCTCCTGCACCTGCAATGCGCCATGGACCTTTACGCATGGATGCTACGGTGTGTGTGGCGATTGTAGTCATTGCTTCGAAACGTGCCTTCATGACATACTGACATACGGCAGGCAACCCAAAGTTGATTTCACCGCAGCATGCAACATCAAGACGTCTTGGCGAGTTTGCCCAAAAACCCTGAAGCAGCAATTCAACGCAAAAGTAAAGCTGAAAGCCAGCTATTCGTGTCATCACCTCCAAACACCTCGTAAAATTAGCCAAACGAGGAATAAACCCAAAACAGAATGTAAATCAAAACTAAACCTGCAAATTTGATGTCATTTGCCGTCATCTTTTCCAACACGACCCTGCGCACAATCTCAAGGACATTATGCAAAATCATCTCGGATCTGTTACCCCATAACTCGATCTCCTACTCTCCTCTTTTTAAAGACAGGGCATAGACAGGAAGGACGTCTCTTTCTTTGTCAAAGTCCCAAGAAATTCCTTCTGACTTGCCCCATATTGAAAGCTGCAGACCTTCTGTTGACCGGGTTTTGAACGAGCCTTTTCTCAGGAAACCGAATTCTTTCACTTGCCTTCAGAAATACCAAAGGAACAAGACCGGTGCGCTCCAAGCTGTTGGCAAGTACTGTGGGCAGCAAGATGCTCTCACCATGTACCAAGTGCTGGTATTTTGACTTCAACCCACATGAACGTCTTCGTCACTTCAAGCCATGATGATTGGATGATATCTATGATGATATTGCCTTTGTGAAGAAGTGTAGAAAGTCTTCGGTGTCAACAGGACACGTCGTCTGGAGAATAAAGCTGTTTTGCAGGCTTTTCACCATACAATTCAAGCGATGCACTCCTTGTCTTCTCGAAATCATACTATGGCACGCTGTTCTCAACTTATCAACGAGAAGCCTTGCGCTCGCTGTCAGAGAAAGGAGAACCCTGGTCCGTCTGACTGAGACCATGCGGATTTCGCAGCAACAGATCCTTCTCCTCTCTTTTTGCAGAAACATCCTGAGGTAGGGGCTCTCGCGCTTCTTAATCGAAGTGCCAGGTGGTTCTTTAGTTAACCCTGCATAAAACAGTGTAACATGAGAATGAAGAAACAGTTCTTGCGCATTATTAAGAAGAGGAAGGCTGTCACATGGCTCTCAATGAGAGCACACATTCCCCGTATGGAGAAGGAGAACCCCGCCATGAATTTTTCAAGATTTGGTGAGCCTCCCCTCGTTTTCATCGCGAGCCAAGCGGTCCTCTCTCCTCTTTCTTTCTCTCCTATCCACTGCAGATAGGGTACGGACAGTCAGGGCTGTCTTTCTTCCTCTCAATCAAAGATGAAAGATTCCTGAATGAGCTTCTGGCTAGTACGCGATCTCATTTGTGCTTCCACCATACTATCTGTCATCTTCTTCACAGGGATGCTGAATCCCATTTCCAAATCAAAAGCCCCGGTCCTTCATGTTTGGGGGTAGTTAAGGCTTATGGCCCCAGGACAGCTGCTTTTCTCAAAGAAATTCAATTTGAAGAACTAGAAGTCGGACGGAGCATGTCATCCATTTAAAAGGTTGAAAAGATGGTTTCGTTGGCTAAGCTTTATCATTCCACTTGGTGATTTGTTTTAGAAGTTGTCGTGTTCCATACTAAGGACCTGGCCAAGACCTTTCAGAAAACGAAAAGAGTCCCGCCGAGTATCCCGGAGAGGAAAGATCCACCCGCAAGGAAACCCGCAAGAGCCCTGCCGAGTATCCCTGGGGTGCCCACCCTCACAGAATTCTGCGGAGAGTCTCGCGACAGAAGCCTGCAGTGAATGTTCCACAACTTCCTGCCCTCAAACTGCAGGATGGCTCCCACAGCGGGTTGCTGCCTTTAGCACAGGGCTGGTCGAAATAATTCATTTTAGTTGCTAAATGTGCTTTTAAGCTGCCTTTGAGTGAAGTTGATTTAATATCCATTCTAAACGATGAGAACATGAACATAAACATGTTGATTTGCATTGCCTTGCAGGAAAAAGTTAAGATGTTCAAAATGTCTAAAACTTTAAAAGCTTTGAAGAATACATCGCTGAAAAAGCCCGCCTGTGTCCCACGGCCAGGAAATGATTAAACAAAAACATCATCTCGATCATCCCCACCTTGCTGCTGCCTGATGCGAGAGCCTGCCATCTCAGACAAGATACTTCGCCACAGGCTTCTTTCGCGGAACAGTGTTCTGAGGGTGGCACTCCAGCACTGGGCAGGAATTTTGTCGGCTTTCTCTGGCGGTGGGTACTCCAACTAAGGAGACTCGGCAGGTCTCTTAGAGAAATTCTCGGGAGTCCCGGGAAACTCCTCTCGGCAGGTTTTCTGAATCTTTCAGGGTACTCGGACGAACTTCTCTGCGGGCTTGTCTGGGCTGGGCGCTCCAGGATACTTGGCTGGACTGCTTGCGGGCTTGGGTGTTGGGACTCTTTGCGGCAGGTTGGCACTCCGGGATACTCGGCAGGATTCTGGGGGCGAGCACTCCACGTCGGGCACACTCTCTGGAAGGCTCTGGGCACCACGGCGGGATTTGTCGACGGGATTCTCAGCAGGCTTTTCTCGGGGTGAGCACCCCAAGGACCAGACTCAGGAGATGGCGGGACACCGGGCCAGGAGGCGACGGTTGATAAAAATCAACAACCCACACGAGGGTGGGAACAAGTTTGGCTTTCAAGGAAGGAGTTTGTTTTTAAACTTCCTGGATCCGGGACGGGGAAGGCCTTTATCATTTTGGGGTTTGGAAATTCGAACAGCTTTTGCCTTGCAGTTGTTTTTTTAACGGATTTTGCGCTTTTGGCAAAATACCGAATCACCGACCGCCTGAGTCCCGGGCCCAGACAATTGAAAAATGTTAAGCACGTTGGATCATGTTGGCCTGTAAAGAAACACTTATTGCAGTGAAGGCATTGTTAAACATGTCAGCAAGCATATTTAACTTTTTGAAAAAATTACAGCTTTTAAAGGCCGCCTGAGTCCCGGACCTATCATGTTTAAAAAACTCCAAATTTCTCAACCTTCCCGTCTACAGGGCATACAGGTCCTACGCACACACTGATCTCAGTGGCCTGGCTGGGTCTGCGACAGGGGCAAACGCGCAAAAGCCCTGCATGGTCAGCTTCACTTGTCCCACAACCTGATGCTCAGCTAATGCAGCTCGTGGGCGGACACTGAATCTACATGAAGTGAAGTTAGTAGTAGCCTGGAATTTAAGGCCGGCACTCCGCTTGCTTCCCGTATGTCCAAACACCTGGTGGGCGGCAACATGGCGCAACAATGCACAACTGGTCATTGTCATTCACTGTTACCGCATCCATCGCAACATTTGCGACACTCTTTCCCAGGCTTTACCAATACTTTCCTAAGATGCAAGTGGCTTGAGGCCCTCACGCAAAGGCCGTAACATTCGTCACCACAACATGAGTTGTTTGTGCAGATGCCAGGCCTCACGTTAATGTGCGTTCATGTTGTCTTTGACCGGAGTCACTGCAAACTGCGCGAGGGCCTCTCCGAATTACCCTCGCTCCCTATGCTCTCTGTCTTTCTCAGGACTCCGGTTGACGGCTGGAGAATGCCTGGAGAATGTCTGGAGACTGTTGGAGATGAACAGCCAAGGCCGAGACCCATTGGTGAAGGAGTAGTTGGCGTAGCTGGAACAAGACAAATTGGCCTGGCAGAGAGGCGAAGACGAAGCACTATTACCGATTACTAACATATCCTAACAAGGGCATTGACATGTACCAAATCATCCAAATCTTGCGAAATACTTCAGCTCAGTGGCCACTGCCCCAGCCAGAAACTGCATTTCATTCTCAGTGTCAATCCTGGCAGTATCGGGCTCTCTACGGGGGTGCAATGGTGCCGCATGGAATTTGTTCACGACAAAACGGGTTGTAGCAAGACGCCGTGGAACATCTGACTAATCTGGACATCAACAGTGAGACTTGCAGGCATTGATCAGAATACCCAAACATGAGCACCAACCATCCCTGATCTACGGGAAATCTTTTTGTCCAGGCCCGGGCACGCACGGGACCCTAAAGCGGACGGGCCGTTACGGGGCTTACGGGGTTTACAGGCCTTAATTACGAGCTCTACGGGTCTTGCGGGTTCACGGGGGGCTTACGAGCCCTTCAGGCTCGGCAGGATCTATTCTCCCTGCGGCACCGTCTACTCAACTTTCAAAATTTTAAAGAGGGAATTTCTGCGATCAGTTATCGCAAACGTAGGGAGATCCCCAAGACTTCACGCCAAGCTCGGATACTTTCCGCATGTGACTCCTGCCTACAGGACCTATGGCGGCGGCGGCACCGCTGAGTTGCGGAGGGTTTACAGTAGGAAGGGCTTCAGAAGGTATTGATCTGGTGCCACGTCCATCTGTTGTGTTTGTATATATATATATATGGTCGCTACACCAGGCTCGTTTGTTGGTCTTCTGCCACGCGCTCAAGTCTCATGAGCTCGCGAAGCTTGGTTCTAATGGATGGCTTGACGCGCTGCGTCGCGACATTTCGTGTCACCCGAAACACTCTTCCACTTTCTGCTGCGTCCTCGTATATTATGCTTTTGCTACACGCGGCTTCGCTTGTTCACGCAAACGTGAACAAAGTATGACTAAGCCTGGGTGGACCGGGAGCCCCGGGTCCAGGGGTGAGCCACGCTATGGCGGCCTTTTCGTCTTCGAAAACCATGTATTGAAAACGAGGGGGGGTAGGGCACTCTTCTGGAAATTTCCAGGGAGAAGACAAGTGAATTGGTGGTGGCATCTTTGAGCATGACATCCTCCCCTCCCTCCCCCCTCCCTCCCCCGTGTTCTTTACAGTCCTCACCACGGTATATTCACGCCTGGAATTTAAGGTGTAATTGACAAGGCCAATATTCGCATGGGCGAAAAAGAAACTTGGAACGTCTGCACAAGGGGTCCGGGGCATGTTCCAAGATGAAAAGTGCTCAGCATTTAGCACGAGTAGGACAGACATCTTAGACGAGACGCACATGAAACTTGATTTATCTTACTGCTGCGGGTTTTAACATCCCCGTGCCAAGGGACCTGCGGGCTCGCACAGGCTCCTCTGGGTTTCACGGATTCTGAGGCTCACGGGCTTCGGGTCCTCTAGGGGTGTACAGCCCTGAATGCCCGGGCTGGTTGAGGACCCTCACCGTCCTACGATCAGTGACATCATAGCAGTGCTTAAAAAGAAAACGGCTCGTCTCAACTTCGTGCGGCCCGAGGTCAGATTCAATGCAATCTCATCACAAACTTCGTCTCGAGCTTCGCAAGCCTCATATGGAGGCTACTGCCGGCAAGTAGGTTAGGCTGTTCACTCAAACCTGAGGAAAAATGCTGACTCCCAGGCATCTGTGCAGGACTGCAAGTCGCTGGCCACGAGCCAGGAAGGGGGCGCCTGCGTGCCAAAAGGTACTCAGCATGCAATGGCATGCACAGGGCTCAAGGCAAGATCCCATCCGGGTCACCAGCCGTGTGGCAGGAAGTATCACTCTTGAACTTGGTGAATGCAGGCGCTCATGAGCGTGCGCTGCAGATTAAGCTCTTGGTGCCAGAGAAGCGAGCAGACATCCTCCGAGTCTCCGTGCCCACACCATGTGGGATTTCTCTGCTTTCGTCGAATTCTCGTCCTCAAAAGGCAAACACCGCACGCAACCAGCTGTATTCCTACAGTTAGAGCAGCATATCATGGCACATCCATGGCCGAGGTGCCTTGCTTGGCGGCTCTTTCCAAGCACCTTTAAGATCTTTAAGTATCCGCACGACATCGAAAGACTATAGTAAGCAATTCTCAAGCTGCCAGTTAACATTGTGCCACCAGAGATCAGGCTGCAGCTTAGATTTGCGGCGGAGGCAGCGTAGCACTCTTCGCTCTCACAATACACAGCCTTCGGCAGCCGATTTCTGCGCATTGCGTTGCGCGAGCTTTTTCACGCGGTGAGACAATCTCCAGCGCGCCTGGCAGCTCGCCGAGAGGCTGCAGTGGTACTTGGCCTCTCTCAGTTTGCTCGCTTCTTTTGAGGAAAAACGCTGAGAGGAGTCAAAATGGAAGAAAAAGAGAAGAGCAAAAGAGAGAGGCATGAGTCTCTAAAATTTGAAGCGCAAAGACAGAGAAGCGAAGACTTTCGGGTCTCGCTCCCTTTCGCTGTCTCTCTCTGGCGCCTCAGAGGCACTGCTCCAGCTGCACTTCCTGGCTTGCTTGCTCTCTCCCACTGCAACTAACAAACTCGCTCTCGCTCTCTCGCTCTCTCGCTCTCTCGCTTTCGCGCTGGTAATGTTTCTTTCTTTCTTTCTTTCTTCATTGTCTGTTTTGTGTTTTGCGCGGGGTCCAAAAAAGCTGTCTCTCAGAAGTACAACTACGTGTACCTGATCGTGTACATTTGTACATGAACCAGAGATCAAGCCAGGCCGGCGCTGATGCGTCTGCATCTGCACAGTTGGCCAGCTTCGTGAGATCTTCGGCGAGTAGCAATGGATTGTTAGCGGAGGGGTCCGGCTTCAACTCCAGCATGTCATCGAAGGCACAGGTCGCCTCATGAAAAAAGTCATCAACACATTTTTAACAGAGCCAGAAGATTAATTTCCAGCAAAGACAGCGACGATGAAATCCAGAGTCAGAACGACCTCCTCCTCCCTCGCAGCTCTCGAGTTTAAATGAATTTTAGCTGGCTTCTCTCACACCTGGCGACAACCATCTCAAGAAGGTCCATGCAATTCCATGCAGCTGCTCCTCTGACATGTTCCTCGTGGCAGCCATCTTGTAGGATGAGTGGAAGAATCCTCTCTGCGAGACCACGAGCTCACTGTCAACGCTTAGGCTGCCAGGTTTCAAACCCCAGCAGCCAAGCGCCATGCATTCAGCTGAAGAAAGAAGAAGCCTTGGCATCCGGAAGAAGTGACCTCCCAAATACGCATTGCATTGCATCATCTGTTCTACTTCTCATTCTACCACCGTGCACAGCGACGAGACAGAAATTCGTGCCAGGGTGTTCCAGCCATCGCTTCCCAGGATGATGGCCTCTTCACTTTCAGGACTTGCGCCACCTCTACTCTTAGGCAACGCAAGCTGCAGAGCTTAGCAATGCGTTTTACTTCGTCAGGTGTGGAGGACGATACTCTCCAAGACAATGCAAGACGTAGGGCTGCGATCAGTACAACAACTTAGCCTGAAGACCTGAACAAGTTGCGGTCATGAGCCGAAAGCCCTGCTCACGTCTGTACTTTCATCGCCACTTCGTCGTCTCGCGACAAGTTCTACCGGGACTGGAAGCATGTGGAATGGGCCCCGCCAGTAGTGCCCTATGCCTCATCAGCACAGTAGTTCCTCACGGTGATGTTTCCGGCATCGAGCTCTTCTGCAAATGCCTCGTCAGTTTTCCGAGGGCAGCTTGCAGTATGCTGTCACACGACCCTGTTTTTTTTGACACTGGCGCTTCTCTTGTGATCCCATTGCTGTCCTGTGATTTGGTGTGTCAAAACGGGCCAAAGGACAAAAGAGCAACCTGCACATAAAGAAAGGCTTTGGAGAGTGTTTTGGAGGGCTGTGCTCGGCCGGCTGCTCGCAAAGAGAGCAGAAGTATCAGATCACGACAGGGCCGAAGTGTTGTCCTGCTATGTCCTGCTAAGAATGTGCTGCATTGCTGCACTTCGATTGCTTCACCGGGAGCTTCCCAATGTGTTGGAGCAGCAGGAGAAGGCAAAACAACGCATACACTGGATTCTTTCAGCATGGAAGACGATCCACAGTTTTGCCCAGCTTTGGGATGAAGACTACGTGAACAAGTTTGAGGAGGCGTTTGGGGTCAAAGAACGCCTCCTTTTTGTTCCGTTTTTCCTGTTTGCAGCCCCCCGCCAACGTGCGCGGCAGAAACCCTCTCCATTTCGCCCCCCCTTCCAACCACAAATTGGGTTGTTTAGTAGTAATAATCGATTAACTCTTATGCCCCAGTACTTATACTCATTTACCCCTTTGGAAGAAAACGCCGAATTCCACTGGACGATGGACGACGATCGATTGACCCCCCTATGAACCCACAATTCTTTGGAAGCCGCAGGGTTCGTAGGATTTTTTGATTAAGCGGCTGAAGCCGAGCATGGCAAAACCTCTCGGTGTCATGCGTGCACACTCCTTCACTCTTTAGTTGCTCAGCGAATGGGAGGGTGGTGGGAGCTCAGAGTGAGCCCCGCCCGCCCTACAGGCGCTGACCCGAGTGTCAGAATATGTCAGAATAGCCTAACATAGCCTAACCCCGCCCTTGAGCACGAGACCTCGTTGCTCCCGCCAGCTCGGGAGTTCAAGGGCTTTGCTAAACGGTCAAAAGATTGACTGTTCCCAGAAGACCCTTCGTCCGGGCTCCCCTCTGGAGCCCCCCTGATTTCAATTGGAAATTTATTACTGCTTTTGGCAACTATAAGTAGTACTCTCTTGTACGCCCTCATTGAAAGTGCACCAGACTACAGGCCTTTAATCGGGCCGTTAATTGTATTACTATTGTTGGGCCCGTGCGTCATATTCACTCCTTACGCCCCGATAGTTTTACAGATCTAAAATTAAGTATTAAGGCGTACAACAGCAAAGGGCCCATTAATTTTATTTGTAGGCGCTTTGTCGCTCTTCTGATATTGGTAAAAGTATTCTGCGGGCTTGGTATAATAAACTAAAAGCCTGTCCAAAAGGACTCATTAAATTTTAAATATGAGTAATTCGTACCCCAATGGACGCCTCTACTACTGCACCCCTCTACCGATCGCCCAGGCCGAGGAGGGTCACATAGCCGCGTAGCATCAAAATTATGTCCAGCCTGAGGGTTTCCTGCAATCCCGGCGCAGTCAGGATCGTACCGCGCACATCCACAATCACAAATTCCTTGGCGCAGGCATCAGCAAGCGACGTGCTCTTGAGCATGTTCAGACTTGGTCGGACTGCAGCATTGGTATCTGCCTTTGGGCAGCCTCAGCTTGACTGACCCATTTCACGAGCCCAGCGTCCATCTCCGAAATAAGAGGCAGTGGCCACCGCACTGCCAGGACACAACCAATCCTTAGACTAGCAGCGAGCAGGCACTGCAGCTCGCCATCCACACGCACGTACACGAAACATCACACAGCATGCAACTGTCCTTGGGTCCATGCCTCTGGTAGCCAGCGAAGCGACCCTTTGACTTGAATCCTCGAAGTCATGTTGGCCGCTACACCCATGTAGGCCTCAGGTGGTCTTCCAACCAGTGAAACCTTGATGTTACTTCGATGAGGACTTTGTCAGTCAGGTGTCAGTAAGCGGCCAAGATTCGCAGGTATAGCTCCGTAGGGAGACGTTGTCGGTGGAACAGTCTTCTTCTGAGCACCTGCTGCGCAAGTTTGCTTTCCGAGATTATCCACGCATGAATTCCTGGCGCAAGTAGCACTCAGCTCCCGGACCCAGGCATACATCTGCAATCATCCTTGCATGAGCAATCGTCCTGCAGCGTATGGGACGTGAAAATCCGCCGAGGCCGGAGGTGTCCACTTTTATTTGCCTCAAATGGGTACCCCCCCTAGGAAATCGGGGTCCGCAAGCGGACGGTTCGCCAGGACCAGAGACAGTTGAAGCCCCTCCCAGCAGGGCCCCCCGCTACCCCCTCCCCCCCTCCCCCCCCCCCCGCGCCCCCTCCCCTTTTCCCCGCCCAAGCCACTACAGAATATTGGTGAGCGGTTTTTCAAGGCTGAGCCGGTGTGAGCACGGCCGGGGATGCATTGCATGAGCCGAAGAGTCTAAGCTTGAACCTAAACCCTAAACCTTAAACCTTAAGCCCGAAGCACTCAACCCTCGAACCTTCAACAAACCCCCCCCCTCCTCTGCCCCCCTCCCCCTTCCCCCGTGCCCCCCTTCCCCCCCTACCCCCCCCTCTTGAACCCTAAACCCAAAAAAACCCTAAACCCCAAAGCGTGAACCTTGAGCCCTAAGCCCTCAATCCTAAACCCTAAACCCTAAACCCCACCCTATTGCTTGGGGTCCAGCGACTTGGGCGCTGCGGAATCACCATGCTCACGCGGATGCGCTGGGCCGGGCCGAGGCGGGTCGCGTAGCGTTAAAATTCGAGCGCTGAGTTGAACATGCAAAACACCACATAGCGAATCACCGCATCAATGCTGATCCAACCCCTGACCGTCCGAAGCAAGCATGTTGTCGTTGACCTCCCAGCAGCTGTCCGGATCCTGTACACGATGAGGGCCACGGCTACCCCTTCAAGGCTGCTCAGACTAGACCACTGTAAGGTGTGGACATCGGGCCACCACACCGGTGACCTGTATTTCCAGGCATTTACGACCTCCACAGAACAGCATGAAACAACGCAGTGACTCACCACAACACAGTATCAACAGCCATCTGAAACTTGCTCATGGTCTAGTGGCCCAGACAACTTCATCATCACTAAACTTGGCGAGAACGTTGATTTTGTTGCAACCGCTTACAGTGCACGTTGCGGCCGTCCCACGCTCGAAAAGCTTAACTCGCCCTCCCCCCCGTTCCCCCCTTTTTTTGACCAACCATTGTGGCGGAGACCTCTATGTTTCCTTTGATGGTCTTAAATTGGACGCGGAGTGACACAGACACAGACACACAGACACTGAGACACGCAAAGACACACTGAGACACACACACACACACAGACACACAGAGACACAGACACACAGACACACAGACAGACACACAGAGACACAGACACACACAGACACACAGACACACAGACACACAGACACACAGACACACAGACACGCAGACACGCAGACACACAGACACACAGACACACAGACACACAGACACAGACAATTTTCTTACTTCGAACATCCCCACCTTCGGATTTGGCACTCCACGGAGTCTCTGGGGTTGGCTGGGCACTCCAGGGAGCCTCTGCAGTTGGGCACTCCAGGGAGACTCTGGGGTGGAACCCAGAATTTTCTGGACACTTCAGGGAGTCTGTGACGTTGGGCACTCCAGGGAGTCTCTGGGGTTGGGGCACTCCAGACTCCGGGTTGGGATTTCAGGGGTTGGGAATCAAGGGAGACTCTCGGGTTGGGCACCCACGAGTCTCTGGGGTTGGGCACTCCAGAACACGCCAGAAGTCTTTGGTTGGGCACTTCAGAAAGTCTGAAAGTCTCTGAGTTTGGGCACGGGCTCCAGGGAGTCTCTAGGAGTAGACCGGGCGAGGAGAAGAGTTCCGGGCGAGGAGAAGAGTTGAGTTTAAAATCTAACAACCCCACACCGAAGGTGGGGAACAACAAAAAACAAAAACACACACACACACACACACCCACGCGCGCGCGCGCACACACACACACACACCCACGCGCGCGCACACACACACACACACGCGCGTGGGTGACACACACACACACACACCAAAAACACACACACACACACACACACAGAGACAATGAGAGACACGCACAGACACCACTAGGTCTGCGCATAGGCCTACGTATTGGTAGTACCCGGAGGCCAACCGGCAGGCCTGCCCATGAGGCCGACCTCTGGGCCTACCCCCTCTCACCATTTTTGGTGCCCAAACGCAGCAGTGAAGGGAGGCCGGCCCCCTTCACCATGTTTTTGACGGGCCAAACGCAGCAGTGAAGGGAGGCTGGTCCCTTCACTTTGTGTTTTGGGGGCCAAACACAGCAGCAGTGAAAGAGGGCCGGGCCCCCTTAGCTCGAGCCTTCAGCTCTTAAAACCCCATGAGGGCAAACTAAAACCAACAGTAGGGCTTGCTTTGACGATCCCTCAAGATGCAATACAGTACCACACGGGGCGTCTGTCCCTGCAAACCAGAGACACGCACGCGCACATGCACCAACACAGACGTGTCATGCCAGCTTCTCCAGATGTGCATCACGGCCGAACCTGTCGAATCTCGAAATTCAAGACTTGCGTACCCTGGCAAGTGCTGCATTCGGGTGCACCGAGCTCTAGTTTGTGAACTTGAACTCGCAAGTTGTGAACTTGTGAAAACTTGTGAAGCAATCAGAACAATGACAGAAGACTACCTGAGACTGCCTGAGGCATTTCGAGGGACGCACCGTAACGTCTCGGAGAAGAAGGTTCACAGACAGGTTCTGCTCTTTTGCAGCGGCCAGCGCCTGTAAACAACTGTCTGACAAAACGTCATGGGATGTCATGGGATGTCATGGGACTCATGGGAAAGCCCAAGCCCTGCTGGAAGGGTTGCCTCTGTAATCCCTTGATCTGTGACAACAGCATGCCCATCATGGATGCCATCGCAGAGGTTGGCAGATGTGACCTTTGAGGCATACTGGAGCCAGTGGAGGCTGCCAACCGCTTCTTTTTGAGGACAAGGTGAAAGACTCATAGAAGGCGTGTCTGGAAGGTTAATGAAATACATTGAAATACTCATGAAGTCGATGCTTTGAGGCTTGGCGCCTCCGAGCCGAACAAGCCCTGCCAAGTGTCAGCGACTCCATCATAGTCCGAGTCCACCTGGGGGATGTAACAACAGCACAATTTGGAAGAAGTCCTTGGCAGACAACGAAGCTTTGCGTAGCCTTCACCCACTTCATCGTTGATGCGTTCTCCAAATAGGCCTCTGCACAGGGGCTTTTGCATTCACAGCTTCCTTCAAGTGGCATTGCCAAACCTCCGAGGCCTCAGAGCAGCCATTGCCTCTATCCTCATCAGCAAACCTTTGGCTCAATGAACCCGGAACTATTGTAGCGCAGTGATTTCCGCTTGAATATCAAAGGACAATTGGCATACCTCCCTTCTCACGACATCTCAGGATGCCACTTGACCTGGAGATGCAATTTGGCAAGCAAAATGCTCATGATGCCAGGTGGCAGTGATGTGTTGAAGACGAAGGCCAAGGAAGAGGACTCTTGGATGGCACCCAAGCCCATCACGTCAACCCTGGCGCTTTGCGAAGTCGACGGTGAGCGTTTTCAAGTTCCAGTGCATGGAGTTACTTTCACGAACACTCTGCAATTGAAAGCGCGCAGTTCAGGACGTCGGCCACTCCCAGCTGTACATGTCCAGCATGGTGGAGTCCACAGTCGTACCCTGAAGCAATAAGTGCCCCACAAGTGCCCCACCTACACCCGAACCCGCAGTTCGGGTTCGGGTTCAGGAGTTCGGGAGTGCAGGACCCGTCCGTCTTGGCATGGATGGGTTCCGGTTCTGGTTGGTGGTTGTTTTTTCCGCGGAGAAGTGGTGACGCGGAGGGGGGGGTTCGGGGAGGGTTCCAGTTCGGGATCTGGCTTACCTTCCATTTTTCACGGGCCCCCGTCCTTCCCCCAACAGTCTAGCAGGCCAACGCTCAGGAAGAACCTGCGAAGCCCGACAGTGACGAGGGGAGGCGGATTCGGGCTCATCCCTCTTGCTTCAAAAAAGACGGGTGGGGTCTGGTGAGGTTGGGGTTCCGGTTCGGGCCTACCCCTCATTTTTTGCTGGGGTTCGGGTTCTGGTTGGACTATCCCAGGAAGGGAGGTTCCATAACCCCATCTGGGAGGAGTGGTTCGGGTTAGGGGTCAGGTCAGGTTCGCCACCACTCTTCTGCTTCCCGAAAGTAAAGAGGGCCTTGGGCCTTGGCATGCCTTGGCCCTGCAGAGAATTCGCAAAGCCACCCGACAGTGGATGCGACATGAATGCAGGAATCGTGCACAGAGCTAAGGTCAGCAACGTACCAAATGTGCGAGGCGATCGTGACAGCGTTGTCGAAAGCTGCTTTGGGGTGCAAGTCCCCATCAGGGTTCAGGCCTCAAGATTCGCACTTCGGTCATTGGCGAACATTGGCGAAGTGGAAAGGAGCAGCAACATCCGATCGTGCCTGGAGGTACATCCTGAACGATGCCTGCGCTAACAAGGGAGGCCGAGCCACCTCAAGAGCCACCTCAAGTGGGCACATTGAGACGCGCGCTGGTGTGGAAGCCAACCGACAGCTCCAGAGGTGTCTCCAGCAGAAGGCGTTGAATCTGCGCAACTTCACACGAGTTCAGGTCCACCAGTCCACACATCCACACACACAGGTGAGGAGCCTTTCTTATCCTATCATCAGGCCGCGGCCTTCTTGCTTTGAGTAGGGGACGACTGCTGGAACTTGATACCGATCTGGCAATCCAAAGAGCAGGGCCACAAGACTCTACACCAATGAAAGGGCTCCATGGACAACAGCACTCGCCAGGCTGTCTGCATCCAATTGTGCTTCATATGGGCCACTGATAGGAAAGTGGTACTTCTCCTGCCCACCAATGTCCAAGAAAGCTATACTACTAACAGTTCCTCATTCTGTCACAATATTGAGAATACACCTCTGGCAAAACGGGCAGAGTGACGCGACCTTGTCCAGTTGCACGATCACATCCGTGGAGCTCTGAGAGACAAACAAAGCATGCAATCACTGAAAGGGATACATAAAACTAACTCGTTTTCCATCACATGCCATGTGGAACATCCACTCATACAAAACATTGCAGGTCACTGGACGAATACGGTGACTACACACACAGTCTCAGCATGGAGTCTGCCTCTGACAAAGCGGAGATCACATTGCCGTAAGAGAAGTGTTGCTTCTGAAACCTGCAGTGATCGAGCGGATGATTGATCCCTCTTCGCTGCGCTTGCCGCAGAACTTAGGAATTGGGCCCACTTGGAGCCAAAGCTCTGACCATCAAGACCTGGGACAAGGCTGTCGATGCGTCTCTCATCAGCAACCTGCCACCCGCTGGAGAACAGTTCGGCCTGTCTGTTGCTTCGGTCTGGTGCTCCAGCTTTGACGACCTTCAAAGTGCATCCAGCGGTAATTTACTCGAGTAAACATTCCTAAGCGAAAGCTTGTCCTGAAAATCATGACTCGACCCGATGCCTCAATGATCTCTTTGTTGCCACAGGCAACATTGCCACAGTCCTTCTGACTGCACGTGCTCTACTAACGGAGTGTTCGACTTTGCTGCGTACGCGGCAAACTTCTGCCACTCTGTGACCTCGCCTGATTGATGTCCAGCTTGTACTCTGCAACCTCAAGACCGTGAGGGAACGGGCTCCTCGCCAAGCGCTCGGATTCTCCCGAACAACAACAGCATCCCAGTTTTCTAAGCAGTTGCTTGACTACAAAAGGCAGGGCGGTGCCCACAAGGATGAACTAGGATGACATGAAATGGAAAACAAACCTCGCCTTCCTACAGTCCTACACCATCCTACAAAAGTTGGCGACGTCGCTGGATGAGGCCTTGTGTGGAGGGTTCGGCCACTCGAATAGAACACTTGACATTCTCACGTCTCTCTCTCTCTCTCTCACGTCTCTCTCTCGCTCTCCCCCGTCTTTTCCTTAACGGGGAAGCACCTCGCACGCGGACGCGCACCCACATCTCTCTCTCTCTTGCTCTCTTCCCTCTTTCGTTTCGTTGTCTTCTTTAAGGGGGAAGCCCCCTCGCGCGCGGACGCGAACCTTATGTCCCAGTAAACTTAGGAACACACAAACGCTTTACATTGGTACGCATGTGTTCTTTTCAGCTAACCGGCTTCCCCCACAAAAGTCTTGCTTTGCGGCACGTAGTGCAATGCCTCCCTCAACGGCAGTACCTGCTCTGGGCCATGGGGGTGCGATGCCATCCCAGGCAGGGCAAAGCACGTACGTAAAAAACTTGCGCATGGCCTGAGGCCGGGCAGCGTGCCGGTTAGGGCGGGCGAAGCAAAAGCCTTCTGTTTTTTCCACCCCAGCCACGGGACAGCTGATCCGGCTGCGACCTTTTCATAGCTGGCGCGGCAGATCGCGGCAGAACGCTGTACCGGCTAGGCTTGTAGAGTCGATGGAGTTCCGCTCAACAGAGCTGACAAAAGAAACAGCATAGCTGGATCCACCATGTTCCGGCATTCAAAGGCCTTACGAAGGTGAACATCCTACAGGGGTGCTCGGATCTGCTGGTCCGATTCACGACGCAGAGCCATGGCTTAGGAGTAGGCTAGTTGGCTAGTTTGCCATCTGCGTACCAACTCTTCCCAACTTCACAACCACCAAGCATTGCTGGCGCCCAGCAGGATTTTTGTTGAGGTGTCAACTAACAGCGCCGTCGCTTGTGCTGAGTTCCCTCATGCAACCCCCGTGAATGTGCGCGCATCAGCAGGGCCGCTCTCCTTGGGAATGTACACTAGCCTCGGGAAGAAATTGTGCCAACAACAAAAACTTTATGAACTCCGGCCATTGCTAATGCAATCAATGCACACTTCACCTTACAAGCGGGCCTGCTTCCCAACTTCACAACCACCACTCTGTAAGCATTGCTGGCATTCGCAGCTCCCCCCTGACGTGTACGCATGCACTTGGAAAAGCGCGTCAGAACAAGCAAGAACTTAACTAACTCAAGAACTTGCAAAAGGACAAGGCCTGCAACGTATAGAAACCTCTCTGGGTGGTGTCAAACAACTCGCCGGCTCCTGTCAAAATCACAAGCGGCTTAAGCGGCCACAGCTCCCTAAAATTGTATAGCAGTTGTATTAGAACTGCATAGCACCATGAACAAATGTGAACTTCCATTCTCGAACCGTCTCGAACCCCTAACTCGCTGCTGACTTCCCACGGCCTTCCAGATAGTCGTCCAATTTCTTGACCAAGCGGGCATCAATGAAGCCCTCGGCCTGGCCAACTTCGCGCCGACTTCGAACCGTTGCCTAGCTCCGGGCGCCAATGCCAAGATGTCGCAAGGCTGGCCAGCCTTGTATCTGCACATGTACTCCTTCCAATGGTCCAAAAAAAACAAGTCAGCCATGCCCTCAGCTGGGCCATCGAACACAACTTTCGAAAAATGTTCAACAGAAGGTGAGAGAGCAGCTCCTGGAAGCATTGTCCGTTATCGTCGCATTGTTCACTCAAGGATGCACTCCCTCCGTACCTGATCACACGCCGTCCTGCACAGCCTTCCTATTCTTTGCAAGGGCCTCTGGAGGACGGGGCCGGCGGGGGGGGGGGGGGGGGGTGTGTTCAACAGCTCCAAACACTGCAAATCACAGCATGTCAGCTCCACACATGCTGCAAATTAATTACATTAACTGCAGCATTTCGAGGTCTTCGCCTGCTGATAATCAAGGGCTCATGCAATAATACGAAGATATGTGCGACAACCAAAGCTGCAAGTTGGATGTTCCACGTATCCCCAAGCTCTTCTTCCTTTGCGTGTTTAGCAGTTGCCGCATGTCGATGTGCTCATCTTCTTCTTTCACTCTGGCACCTTCCTAGCGTTGCGCATGCCCCCACCCTTTGCATTTGGATCGGCGTTTGTCTCCAAGCGCTGCCGGTTCCGCTTTTTCTCTATACCCTGTGTGGAACCAGTACCGGATCGGTGGATGTGTCCCCGTCTTATCTTCTTTCTTGTCTCCCTCCTAGCCTCCCCTCTTGTGTGCCCTTGGAGCCACATGCCAAAGCCGGATTGATGGACGCACACCCTTCGTGTCTCCCAGTGCTGAGCCGCGCGTGAATCCACAGGAGCTGAGGAGATCAGGTTGAAGGGACCACGGACCACGGAACAAAATAGGGCAGCAAACCAGAAGGGCCCTCAGGCTCAGCAGATATCTGCAGACCACAGGGCCGCAAAATCGACATTACCCGACAGTAGGCCTCCACAGCAAACTCTCACGTCTCTTCATGGACATTGCTGTGTCGTTGCTGGGGCCTGGCAGCCCTGTCAGGGTGTAAAACAAAAGGCAGCAAGCAAAAGCAACAACTTTGAAGGGCGTGCAAGTTTCCCGGCTCGAAGGGACACGTGGGACAGCCACCTCCACTCACCTAAGTTCTGCACTCAGAATCTTGATTTGCAAGATTTGCTCTCCATGTCAGTGGCTAAGTGGGCTAGCCATCAACCCTCAGTGAGAAGCAGAAGAAAGCAATGACACATCCAAGATAGATTGGGGTGCGACTGGGTCTACAGTCTACACTGTGAACCAACAGCTGAGTGGTGGCCAGTTTGTGTCTTCACCTCAGGCAGGAACATTTCGGTATTCGTCCTCCGTACCCATGAAGCCAGCCTGGAGATTGCATCCGCCATCGCTTCTAACATCACAAGACAACAGTTGTGGAAAGGAGCCGACCAGATCCGTGCTTCCTGGAAGAAACAGCTGGGTGCACCTCATCAAAATGATTGGTGCACAAATCTAACATGCCTAAATTCGTTTACCACGCCGACTCCCACAACTTCCAGGTCTTGCGCGGCTCGGACAGGTAAATCTCCGTGGCATCGGACAAGCCTGATGAAGCCTGGGCATCTCATCTCTGAAGACGGCGGCGGACATGCAATGAACTGAGCAACTAGCAGCTTCTGAATAAGTGTGTGACTTCAGGCGTGGTGCAGCGTCCCATTCTGGAGCACACCTCTGCGCAAATTGAACTCATGTGCAGCAGGCCGATTCAGTCTCCTCTCGCCTCTCCGCGTCCGCAATTTCTGACCGGAAGGTTGGGATAGAAACCTTAGCCAATGTGGCCCTTTCGTGAAGGCAACGAAAAGTAAGAAATGCAGCCGGGAGGCAGTCCGGATCCGGCATGCCACATCTGCAGTCACACTGCCTGCACACGCGCTAACGCCATCGAATATGGACAAGTCATGGCATTTGATGGCATCAGGCCTACCGTCGTTGTAAAGCCTGGCCAAATGCAGCGAAAGCGTCACTGCATGCAGAGAGTTCAACCCACCTCGCATGGCAGATCCACTTGGTCGAAGGGGCTGCAGGAGGGTCGCCGGGATCCTTTTGACAGGCCAGCTTGCAGCATTTGCAGCATTTGCAGCATCAGCACCGCGTGAGTTCGCGTGCTCAGGCCGCAGCTTCCAAGTCGAACTTGAGCCGGTAGCCGCTGTCCAAACCCCGAAGAACTTCAAGTGTGAAGGGATCGGTGGAATTGGAGTCAGGCACCTTGCGCAACATGTTCGCAACATGTTTGCAATATTTTGCAATGCAACTCAACTCCCGGTCTGTGCAAGAGTGCCAATGGTTCATGACGCCTGGATGTCACTCACAAGTACCCTTTCGATTCCAGCCAGTCCCGAGAGCATCAAGTAAAATGGCGTAGATCTTGCAAACCTGGTCGGACTGTGCTGCTAAGAGCTCCAGGCGATAGAGTTCTGACAAAACCTAAGTCGGGCGCCCGCTGCCCCAGTTCTTCTGCTCTATGTACAACACGTTTTGAGACCTTAAACTCAGCGAGGCTTACCATGTACAGCCCATGCCTAGCCAAGACGACGACGTGAATGGTGTGGATTTCGAAAAAAATATACGAAACCGCTTGATTCTGTACTTTCGCCCCAGCACCTTCCCGCCCCTCCAAGAACCGATGATGATTTCAGCAACTATTTACCCTAACGATCTTTCACGTTGTCCAACAACCCTTTCGTGGCAGTTAAGAGTTAACCTGTCTTGTGCCAGTCAACAAAAAGTTCCCTCGGATCCAAGCGCGTTTGGGGCGGTCGCCGTCCTCCAAGGACATGTTAGCAGAGAGGTTCTCAATGTATTCATTGCAGAGGAACGCGCTCGAATGTTCCAGACACACGTGCGTACGCAGATCCCTCGCCTCAAACTGGTAGTGAAGGCATTTTGGCTGGAAGGTGTCTTGACACTGTCACCACAGGGTTTGCGTGTTGAAGCAATTGATTGTCTGCAATGGCACAGTGAAACGGCTCCAGCGACTTAACAGTCGTACAAAGTGGCCTCTCCATGCTGACTAGACCCGGCTAGACTCGACGCAGCGAAGCACCACAAGATTCCACAAGCATCTCTAGCAGCGCAACAACACGCAGAACCTGGCTATGGCATTCCATTGCAATCGTGACAGGATGACGTCATCGACGCATCAGCGCATGTGATTTCTGAGTAGCTGTTGTTGAAGTTCGGCACCTTGGGAGTCTTGGGAGCAATGTACACCGCAAACGAGCTGCACAATGTCTGCACTTCGAAGGTCCGAACATAGTTGAAGAAGATGCCCCAACTTTTGATGACGGAAATTAAGCTCGGCCTGCAACTAGGCTGGCCTACGGCGCTTCCAGCCCATCTTCATGCCCCGGCCTGATCGCCACTTCGGTTCCATTTCGGCATTTGCACCAGAACTTTCCTTCTGGATACTCAGGCTCGGCCTGTCAATCAGAAAGTCACAAAAAAGTCCTGAATGCAATGAAGCGCAATGCCGGCGCCTGAGTTGCATTGCACGCAAAGTCATCAGAAGCTTCCAACCGTCGCGGCGAGCTAAAAGGATCTGTTTCGGAGCAGTCCTGCGCGCAATGGCAAGTGTTCCGACCATCAGGTAAGCTGGCTTTCCGCGTCCTCTCCGAAAAAGCCGTCAGCACAACTGCACTGGTATGTGAAGCCAGGCATGTCTGTGCAATTCCTCAGTGATACAGTTCCAGAGTGCCGCAACATACCACAGCAAAAACTATGGTCACGTCGATCGTGAAGTCTTTTTGTAAGGACTTTTCTGAGCACCGTTATGACTGTGTTGAGTAAAGCTCGAGGATCGTTGCCACGATGATTTAGCGTTTGTGACTATTGTGGGCTTGAACTGGTGAGTGAGATGCTCGATTCTGAGGAAGCCGCCCGCCATTGCGGCAAGGTGTTTGGCTGCAGGCAGAGCAGGTTGCTCGGAGATCCTTTCAGAGTTGGGAATTTTCAAGGACGGGTCTATTTGTCGAGGTGCCCTGCCTCAAAATAGTAGATGTAATCCATGCTGAACCCTCTTTTGCAACATACGGATAGTGACACTAGCATGTGGAACGACAATTCCTCTGCACACGTTTGCGGACAACTCTAAGTAATCAATTCATGTTTTTGACGCGACTCGCCGGGTATCCCTCGAGAAATATACAGGCATGCTCCTTGTGCTTTGACACTCCCTCTTGTAAAGCGCTGTGACTCTTCCTCTGCTCCTTCTCGCTGATGTTTGTTCAGGGCCGTAGAAAGGATACTCGCCTCCTGTATCCTCCCTTGTCCTATCACAGCCCTTGCTGAGCTAGCTTATGTTTTTCCGAGCAAAGCATCATGGCATTATGCAAACGTCTTCTATCCGGGGACCCTCAGTCATCCTCAGTCTTTGCGAGGGCGTTGGGGCTCCAACCGCTGTCCCGTCTGTTTCTCTGGCTTGCAAGTGCGAACGGAGGCAGGGCAGTTGACAGCAAACTTACCAGGGCTACATTGCAGAGAAGGAATACGCCGCAAAGGCGAACCAATTAACCAATCTCCTTGAGCAAACTTGGACAAATTGGAAACAATTTGGCACACCTGGAATCGTTGTCTCCAAGCCGTAAACGATCGAGCAGCCATAGCGCACTTTTACGAAATCTTGCGTTGCTTTCTGGTGGTTTGGGGCAAAACTTGGGCAAAGATGGACGTTACGCTGCAGTCTGCTCGCAAGGCACCGACAAACGCAGCAGACATGGACCAAACTTATCCAAACCTTAGACGGCGGCTCCGGGCCAGCAGCTGCGGCTGCTTTGATGCCTAAGCCAAGCACACCGACATCCACTCCTCGTGGGCATCGCACTCGTCATCGAGCTTCGTCCTGATGCACGTGAAGGTTTTTGACATCTGATACTGGTACTGGCACCACCTCACACTTCAAAGTGCCTGAGCTTAAGGTTGACGACGGTCGCAAAAGGTTCCTCTCAATGATGCCACGCGCAAGGGCCCACATGCTATGTTGTTCTTGGAGTACATGCTCTTGGCCTGTGGAACTGTCCACTCCGTGTCAAATATCAAGTTGAGCAGCTCGTCTAAACGCATGGTAGCCTCACGCCATTTTTTGACAATCGAGGCGAAAGCCGATGCACGGAACAGTTCAAAGTAGATGTTGCAAAACAATCTGGTCATGACTCTTCAAGATCCAAGGCGTTGCAATGCAGCGTGTAGACCTACACCATTTACGAATGTTCGCGGCAGAGGCCAATCCTGCATCGTCACAAGATTCGCGGTCACACTCGCATCGCTTTGTGGGGAAAACCTGCGCAACGTGGCAACGGCTCCAACAATCTTTACGGATGAGTATGCACCAAGCCTGTGCGTAATAGCATTCCAGTTGTCTGGCTGCCAGCAGAATGGATTGGACCTTGGCACAATCGGTGAAATTGAAACGTTCCTAAGCATGTCGCTGCTCGATGCTGGCAAACAAGTCAGCTAAGGACACGACTTCATGAACGGAAACGACGCAAACAGCCGTCGATCTTCTTTGACCGCATCCTTCCAAGCATACACGTGCTTCTTTCTCAACCAAACTAGTCCATTACGTATGCTTCCATGTTAAAATCTCCGTTGGAACTCAGACCTTCTCATGGGCTGGCCCAGCCCGGATTGTTGTTCTTTGGACGCAAGGCCAGTAAAAGTACCGTGAAATGAGTGGCTGTAGCCAGCATGAGCCCGGACTCTGCATGTTTCCCGCCAACCAGCTACGCAGGGACAGGTCATGAGCACACTCGTATACATACAAAGCACGCATGCAACATATACCAAACCTCCAGAAAACCTAATACCAAATTTTCCTTAAACTGCGACTACAGCCAGACTCCTTCACCAGGTTGAACGCTGCTTCGTTGATAAGGCCAACCTTGCGCAGGTTCACTGGACAACACAGCTTTGCAAACCGGCAATGTATTTCAGTCTGGTTCAGTGACTAGCCAGTGCCTAGCCTGCAGCTGGCAGCTCTTCAACTGCCGCAGCTGATCCCTGGCAGCGCAGGAAGGAGCGTTCAAGTACCAAAGTGCAGCTACATATCAGCTCAAATCTAATCAATGCAAGGAAGTCTAGGATCGCGCCTATCGAACCGCATGTACAAGGCAACCTGACTCAAAGACTCTTCGGGTGTTGCTTGGCATTGCTTGGCAGCTCCAAGTTACTGTAACACGTTGAGGCTCAGCATGTGGGCACACGTGCAAGTGAACGTGCCAGCGACAGCCAAACTTTGCGCTGATTGGTTGCATGCATTGGGGATTCAGTCAGCTGAGTATGCCGATGCTATGTATATAGATGTAAATGCGCCTTGTGCTCAAAAAAGTCGCTCAAGCTCTGGAACACGTTGCGCTTCAGGTACCTGCAGGGCAGCTACCATCACATTGCAAAGCGGATGGTTCATGCTTTCAACCGAAACCCCGTTCACAGAGAATTATAGACAATCTGTGGGCGCCAATACATCATGGTGTCATCGAAGAGATGGCTAGCTGTGGCGCCCTGGCACTTCCAACTGTCACTTTAATGGTGTTTGAATCAACTCTTTCACAGATTTCACAGCTGCCTGCATGTCATTGAATGTCTTGATCGTTTTGGAGAGCACGTTTGACTTGAGCACCGCACTGCTCTCGTGGAAACTGCAGGGCACAGGTACGTCACAATAGCATGACTACATGGCAGTTGATCTAACATGCTTTGTACCCTTCGGGATAAAAGATTCCCTTTCGCCGAGCTTTAGTGTGCTTAGTCGCATGCGCATCTGAACCCTGTACCCTGAATCCGCATTCCCGGACTTTGTTCTGTGTCTACGATGTGAGTACTCAGTGTAGATTCGAGGGAGTGGGGGTTAGCTTCAGATTACAAGTGTGGCTGTGGTTTGAGGTAGACGAGCATCGGTTTGGGTTCAACATTGTAAGGTCCAGGGAGGGCTGGGTCCTTCCAAGGATACGTGAGACTTGCGAAGAGCTTTCGCCAGTCTTGCGCTACATTTTGCTTCCGGTTGAACAGACATTGCTAAATTGGCAAAAAGATATTGACTCTCGTCAAATTCTTCACCAAAAAAATTTCCTGCCGCCTGCACGTTTATCTTTGACGGACGCTCACATGACTCACACATCGTGCAGAGGTAGAGTTTATACCATTTCCAAGCTCTGGGCCCGAGTCTTGCCAGCTGGTAGAGCCGCCAACAACCGAGCCTCGAGGCACCTTGAAATTGAAATCATGGTTGGAGATCCTTCACTTCGCTCACTAGAAACTGGAAACTGGTTCGCTGGTTGTTGATCTGGCGGTCAACTGAGTCTTGCTATGAAGACTGGCTGGCACGCCCTGGCCACGTTTGTTAACCATGACAGGGCTACAGCCTTCGTGCGTGACTATCAGCTCGCCATGGACGACTGGGCATGCGAGATATTGGACGAGCACTGCGCTCCATCTTCTTTGGCATTGCCGATCAAGACCAAGCATATAAAGGTCTTTGATTCGAATACTGTTGAAGAAGATCCTCTCGAGATGGACTCACTCCAGAGCAGCGCGGTCGCACGTCCGCTTGCACTTGAGGATGCTTTGTTAGTAGGATGGTGCGAAGTGGTTTCCGGCTGACTTTCTGCACGAGCTTTGTGATTCCTGTTTGTACAGGACTCTTTGTCAACTGAGGGCTACTGCATCACTTGGCTTGAGATTGTCATGCTACACACACAGAGGACCTTATATCCTGTAGCTGGCCATTTCATCTCAGCCTGTTGCAGGGAGGCTTGGATAGGTCTTTGCTTGGGTTGGCTTCCGGTTGGGTGGAGTCGTTCTTGGCTGTGATGTCTCTTTGCGTTGCAACGTGCTCGACTCTCTTACAGGATTTCACTGCTGGGCGGCGGGTAAGCGGCCCCAGTGCGCTTGCTCGCCCCGTTTTAAACAGTTTCACCCCGACAAGACAAGGACTAGCACGCCGTTCCGCTTTGCTGCGCGCGCGCTTCAGAGCCAGCAACACCACAGGATCCTTCTACATCCACTTTAGCAACTGCAAAGTCCGCAACATATTTGCACTAACGAGGGTTTGGAGAGATGGGAGATGTGAGATCAGGGTGTCTGACAGATCCGCTCTCCTGCCCAATGGAGCTTGCACGCTGTCCACAGCCGACAGGGTCGTAGGCGTCTCCTCGTGTCTCGCCACAGCACTGTCGCGTACTGTCACCAGTTCAGTCTACAGGGCTTGCAGCAAAGGCCTGGTTGCTGGAAACAGAGGACTCAGACAGCCCCAGCAAGTCGGTGACCACTACCTGCAAGGAGAAGGAAAGTATTGGCTCGACATGCAGCATTTGGCTGCACTATGCAATATGCGCAACAAAGAGGGTATGCGCCAAACTCCCACAAGAGCAGCTCCTTGTCCAGGCTGGTCTCTCTGTTTCGTTCATAAAACTGCACGACACTCATGAAGCGTACCTGCAAAGCAGTCAAAACACTCACAGATGTTCAAACGGAGCTGGTGAACACAACAGGTCTCTCTCGCGTCTCTGAGGCTGATCGACAAACCTCCAGCACAGGAACGTCAAGAGAAGGAGATGCTGCCTGATGTCAGCCACTGTCAGCATGGCAGCTACGCAGCTGCAACGGCATCGTAGACCGTGTGGAAAAAATTGTCGCCTCACCAATCATCTGGGAAACCCAGTACCACGGTTGACCGAGGTCCTGCTCCTCTGCCTGTCAAGCTGCAATCCTTCATGCCATGATGTGTTTCCAAGCTACGCTCGTTGGGGACAGAGAGACTGCGGTTGCAGGATGTCAGTATGTAAATCGGTCAGAGATTCATTATTCATTGCCCAGCACGATCCTCCACTGTGTAGCGGCAAGAAGACAAATCCATGGAACTGAGATCCTTCCGCATCAGGGCGACATGTTCACATGTTGCCGCAGTTGAAATCAGTTTGACATTTCGCAAAGTCGCCCAACTTCAGGCCGAGGCCAATACAGAGCACTTCGTCCCAGCTCGACCCATCTCGCCCCCCCCATGCCCCCCCGGTAAATGTCATCACAGTAATTAAGCTTGAACTGTACAATATTTGTACAACGCATCACTCCGCACTCCGCATGACCTTTCCGCCAGCAAAGGCAAGCGAGCGTGCACACATGTACCTTAAGCCAACGTGCATGCGTGCAAGCTAGCGTCTGCGAAAACGGAACAAGGAGTGTAGAAGCAACCCTGCATGCGCGGTGGCGGGCGCATGCGGGCGTATCGATCAAGACTACTTGCCCACTTTCGCCCCCGCTACACTAGCTTGCGCATTAGCCTGCGCAGTAGCTTGCGCGACAAACATTCCGCATCGGAGCTCCAGGAGTTTTCCAGATAGAAGGCTCCCGGCTCACGAAGGCAACGTGCAATGATGGAATTTCAATGTCCTCGTTAACGCAGTCGAGGTTGATGACGACCGAGTCCAAGTTGATGGTCTGGACAGCGTCAACATGTGACATGTCACACTACGGGCTCTTAGCAACTCTGAGCCAGCCTCGGTCTCATTGCTGGCAGCAGAAATGAAGCCTCTGATTAAGAGGGTGAGGATGATACCTGCAAACCTGGAGAGCAGAGAGCAGACGAGGGCTCTCAAAAGATTTCGAACTCCGACTTGCTCGGAATCGGCACAGTGCACCGCGAACGAAAGGCAAAGCATGGCAAAGCTGTGGCTGCGGGCAGAATGGTCACAAGGGCACCGAGGTTCGTCCGAGGCAGCTCCGAGCATGCCGGATGCTGGCGTGAGCGCTTCGCTGAGTGGCATGGATAGACACAGCTCTTGCATTCTTGCGAAGCTTTTAAGAAAGTCAGTAGAGGGTCAGCAACTTGCAGCTTGCATTTGCCTTGACACTCCCGCCGAGTAAGTCGAAGCGCTGCGCCAACCTTGGCACTGGTGGGATGGCATGAGGAACTCTGGCGTTAGTGCCTGCTAGTGCTCTGTTGATGCTCTGTTCGTGCTGTTGAAGTTGAGGCTCCAGCTTGCCTGACTGGAACTCGCCAATCCTGACCTTCCTTTCGTACTCATTGTATGGTTCATACCTGCAAAAGATCTAGCAAAGCTCATCAAGCAAGTACCAATTTTCAATGAAACCACTGTACACTAAAACCTGCATCTCCGCGGGTGTGGGGCAGTTGTAGGTTGCCTTTTAACCTAGAAACCTCCAGCGCAGGTCGCCAGTTTCGGATAGCTGAGTGGAAGTTGCGACTCCCAGCACACCATGGTCTGAGGGTACCCCGGGATTGGCCCCCAAATTGGTACAAGACCTCCCCAGCCTAAAAAGGCTGTTCAGATTCTGCATGAAAGTCTTTCTGGTGCTCACCGGCTTCACGTAGGTGGTCTCCCAGCGCACGTTGCTGGGGAAAGATGAGACAACGACCATGAGTAATGAGCAAAGTCGGAGCTCAGGAAATTGGCCTGTGTCTCCAAGAAGCCTTCTGGAAACGGAATCTTTTCCGATGACTCTTTGGGCCTTATTCTCCATACTCTCCATACCGTGCGGAGGTATCATGGACTGAAACGACTTGGCTCCGGACGTCTTTGGCCGACTTCTGGGTGGGGCAGGGACAGCTTCCGAACGTGGAGCTTGTTTTAAAACATCCGCGGCCGCAGAAGCAGTTGTCTGATCATTGCTCTCGGCTTGTTCGGGCTGATCTCCCAATTGCCTTAGGACCTGCAGCGTGCGGAAGCCTACACAAGCGCAAAAACATCAAAACCAATTTGGCAAGCTTGTCGGGCCACATCATCGTACAGCTGCGAGCCCTGCAGAGAAGCCAACACTTCCTGGAGGCAGGAGAGTCCAAGAGGTCAAAGAGCTACCATGGAAAATCATGGAGCTAGAAGGAGCTGTGAGCTAAACTACCGGAAGTCCTCTGGCAGTTCGGGCTCTAAAGCTGGCGCAGCGGCTTCGATGGCGACAGTGGCCGGTGGCCTTGCATCTGGCTGTTATCCTGGACTATGAAGTCAGCAATGATGGTTAAAGGCATGCAATATTTGCGAGCGCCCTAAGTGCTTGTCATCACTTGTCCGAGTTCCGCAAGATCCCCGACATGTCGACAATGCTCACACAAACACACTCACAAGGCTCTACACGCATCACAGTGAGGCAATGCGAGACGCTTGCACACGCGTCATCCACCAAACTGCAAAAGAACTCTAGGGACCCAGCGTGACTGCATTGGCAAGCTTTGGATCTGGAGTTGCGCCGCTTTGGGGTGGGCTTTCGCCGACACCTTCCGCAGCCACCTCCTCTGTTTCTTCAGTGGGCGGCGCTGCCAATAAAGCTGCTGCCTGGTACAACGCGAAGGAAGGAGTAGCAATGACTACCTAGACGTAGACCGTCCGGGCCTCTCCCTGCTGTGTGCTTTTTGTCGTGTCATCGATATCAAATGGACGTCCGGCGCCGGACATCTCCAACCTGACCGGCTGCTGCTGCCAGGTGCCGCATGCTAGTGCTTTTCAACAACAGAAGCGTGCAGCTAATTGCTCCGAATAAGCCTCGACACGGAGAACGAAAGCGTCTCTGGCAGGATTGCACATGGAGCTTGCGACTAATTACTGAGAGTTCTGATTCTGTCTTGAGCAGCATGCTGGTGATGTGTTTTGCATAGTTGTGGACATGGATGGCTTCGACGTCTGCTCTCATGACCCATGCAAACAAGATAATTACATTACATGGCATGGCTGCGGACGATCCCAACTCTCCAACGCAACGCTTGCAAGCTGTGGTGACGATGTTGTGAAGTCAGAGAGGCGTTTGCAAAAACAAAATCGGGGACCAGAGTGCATCGGAGGACTCCGCATGGTGTGATCTGGGGATTCTCGCGGGAGTGCTTGACTAGTACCAACATGGCGCAAGATGATGCAAATTGATGCAAATTGATGCAAATTGATGCAGATTGATGCAGATTGATGCAGGCTGCACAGCGAATGAAACTTCAGAAACTTCAGCCATAACACTTAAACTTAGGAGCGCAAGCCCCAAGGATCGTAGTGTGACGAAGGTTTCAGAGGCACGTACCAGCGCCTCATGCCTGCCGATCGAAGGTGGCCGGCTTGCAGATCTTGCGGGCTAGCTAAGGTGTGCGGTGTGCCACGTAGTGGCAAAAGCGCTCTGTGAAAGGAGAAGGGATCACTGATGTGCTTCCAATGCAAGCATGCATTGGAAGCACACGTAAGATTGCGCACAGAAACCTTGTATGTCCAGGTGATCGAAGAACAAATCGCTTGCTCGAACTGTGACGTCGAAGCTTTCGCCAGTAATTGTTTGGCTCGAAAACGCCCAAACAGGCACCAACGTGGGAAGACAAGTAAGGTAGCCTCATTGACGAAGATGTTGCACAGCTTGGGGGCAAAATGCTTGGTCCACCAGAATTTGAATCTCACACGTGATGCCTGGCTTGGCAAATTTGGCAATGACCTCAATCATCAACCTTCAGGTGCTTGGTTGGGCAAGAATATCGATCGCCTGGACTTGGAACATGGAAGCTCAGAGCCTTTCTTGCCGGAAAAAGACGCCCAGTCTGTAGATGGCAGGGGAGTGGGAAGGGGCAGTAGGAAAACAGGTCTAGAAAGGTGGATGAGATCCTCCCCCCCCCCCCCCCCCCCCCCCCCCGCCCTACAGACTTTGACAATGACTACGACAATGACTTTGACTGCAATGCGCAAAACAAGCCGTTTTGGGCTTAGGGTGATCGACTGGATAGGGTGAAGACATGCCCCGCTAAGATTGCACTACTCAAAACGAGCCAAACCAAAGAGACACACTATCTTATGGCCAGTCCGGCTAGACTCGTCATACTGAGCCTGCTGTGGGTGAACATCACACCGCTTGCCACACATCCAGGTCTGACGAGCGAACGTTGCTTTGGGCGGAAAGGCTGGTAACGTGAAGAGTCTTCTCCCTGGCCCATCGTGGCTTCAGCTAACCGGAAATGAAGGGAGAAATCAGAAAGTCATGCAAAATCCATGAGAAATGACCAAAAAATGACGCGTCATGCAGAGACCACGAGAACATCTGACAATGATTGATGTTTCGTTAAGTGACCAGCAAAATCAGCTTGCACCATTGCAGCGGTGCTCGGCAACCCTTGCGGGAGGCAAGGGTAACCAGACCACCTTCATTCACGCTAGAACCTAGTTCAGCGCGGTGAATACTCAGAATAACGAGTCATACAGCTGACGCACGCCAATTGATCATGTCTAGCACGATATTCTGAGCAGCTTCCATGGCCACGGCATGTGTGCATCGCGCCTAATAAAGATTGCGACTGCGTTAAGACATGACAAAACCACGAATCATCGACATCACGGACACTGCCTCTGACCAGGGACTCTTTAGGACAATACAGAACGATCTAAATGCACCTCCTACAACGGATATGTGGAGGCCTTATATTGTTCAACTTCTTTGAAAGGGAAATGTCTGTAAATAGAACTACCAGAATTGGTTCTCACAGCCTCACAGCAACAAGTTGTAACAAGCAGAGTTCCTACCACGGAAAGTACCAGATTGTGCACGCCACTGCGTGGGAGTCTTCGCTGTCCAGAGTGAGACCACGCTTGCTGCAGGTTGAAATTCGACTGCAGTGGCCTGCATCTCTTCTCTTGCATGCTCGGCAGCTGCCAGTGCGTGTGAGTGGCAGCAGCCCAATCGACAGTGGACGGGCCACTGATCCAGCGGATCGTACGGGTCGCCTACCGCCATGTCACTACTTGCAATGCTATTCTTTGACATTTCGTCGTGCTGGCATGCTTGTGCAACCTCCAGTCTTCAAACGCCTTTTGAACGAGATCTTCTCATCGTGCAGGGCATCACTTCTTTGCAAAGCCGTGGGAAACTTGATATAACTTGATGGACAACGCTGAAAATGGGCAACCGGCTTTGTTGTGCGAATTTCTCATCTCTACATGCTCTAGGCAGCCCATCTCATCGAGTGCCCCTAGACTCATATGCCACTGCTAAGATTGCTTTATTGAGTTCCCTTCCAAAACGCTTTACCCCTTGGAAGTGACCCCACTGCTGCGTGACGAAGCAACAATCAATCACAATGCTTAAAAATGCTGAGCAGGCCGACAACTGGGGAAGGTCGGTGTCTGAATATATGTACCAGTACGAAAGTCTAGCAGCAAAGCAGCCTAGCAAGTTGAGATTCAGCAAACGGTAAATCCTACTCCCACGTCCTTCCCTTTGCATGTCGGTGTGCTCGGAACTTCGTTCCGATGGCTCCCATCTTTGTGGGAATCGTTGGGTGGCCAATGGTGTGTCGGATCCCGACATGACAGTGGAATCCGAAGCCCCGAGGGTGCAGATTAAAACCATGAAGAGTGCCTAATCTTTTGGGAAGCGTACTCGTCGCTATTGGTCAGCCAACCCCATTTGTGCATCTCGCGAAATCCCGACCCGTCTCCCCGACCTCTTTGGTTTCTTCTTGTTTAGGGGCACCCCCCCACGCACTAGACATGGAACGGGTCAATTTTTTGGTTTGACGTTCATGGGTCAATTGCAAACGAGGCGCCCAAGGGCCGAATCTGTTGTGGCTAATGTTTTTCGTATTCATTCTTTCTGATGTTTTCTTTCTTGTTGCATCTTCTTTTTTCTGCCATTTGCTCATTCTTCTAGGGCCGGACAAACTCCGGCTGCCCGCACAGTATGGTGGATGTTTCGGTGCCCCTGTGGGTGTTAGGGTTTGTACATCTCTCGTCATCCTATGTGTGGAAATGTGTGGAATGTGGCCTGCATGGCCTGCTAGTTGTGCAGGCACGCTCGGTACCAGAGTCCCGATGTCCTTACGAGGCCTTTTTGCGACATGACAACGGCAAGGCATCGCCCTTGTGCTGCGCTTAGCTACAAGTACTGTACCAAAGGACTCCAGCGAAGAATGAACAAGCGCGACAAACAGTAATAAGAACAACTACAATCACAATATTGCTGCGGGCCAGAAGACTACATAATAAACAACAGGCCCGCAGACATAAATAGTAAGAATAGCGAAAAGGTTAAGATTGAAGGAATTATGCGGTCAAAATTCCCTAAAGTTTACGAGGTCCACGGGGGGTTAGGAATTATGATCGTGTTCTCTTGTTTTCTGTGGATTTTCGCGGATTTGTCATTCGCTTCGCTCTGGTGGTAGTAATCTGAGAGAATATATGGTAGCAACATATGAATAATGGGCTCAACAGTCTTCAATGTTAAGCTTTAGCTTCCTTTTTCACGGCCCATGGTTGGACCCTGAAAGCAACCGTAATATTCACTGAGCTCAGAGGTCCTTCGTGAAATTAATTCTAGCAAAGCAACTTGGAATTCTCTGGACAATTTTCGTGTCGGTCCATCTTTGCCTTTCCTTCGCTCCTTCTGGCTTAATTATTAAAATTTCGCTTCTCGGGCATCTGTACTGGGAGACTCTGCGCACCGGCCCCTCCACGGACTAGGGGGAACAACTTGCAAGACTGCAGCATGCACCGCACGAACGGTGGACTCTACGATCACAATGGTTTCGGGTACGGCTCCCATGCATCTATTTTGCCCACCCTAAAGTGCCCAAAATTTCGAGATGAAAGAAAGTTACGTTGCACCCGGGTGGCACCGGGTGAAGGATGGGAACTTCTCCTATCGGCCGGCTTCCCCCATGGCCCGCAGAAATTTTGTGTGGGTTGCTCTAGTTGGTCAGTCCTTGGGGTGGTGAGAAAAGCCGTTTGGTGTCTCCACTTAGGATGGTGTGTTCCCGGCTCCTTTCATCAAGGTTTGTGGCCACTGCGTTTAGGCGGGTTTAGGGTTTCGGGGGGGGGGGGGGGGGGGGGGAAGGAAGCTTGCAGTGTAGCTGGACAAACGAGTAAAAAGAGTGCAAAGTCTTTCTTCTGGGGTTCAAGGAGTGTCTAGAATCTAGAAAGGCTAGATGCGGCAACCGATGTGCAGGATCCTAAGGTTTGACGGGATAGACACAATGGAACTTGCCCCGCCCCTTCCCGCCCAGGCTGGCTCCCTCCGCATCCTACTTTTACAGGAGATGCTTTTGCGAGGATTTGTAACGCAACGAAGTGAATGAAGCTCAACGTGACACCAGAATATGAAAGTTAGGTTGCTGCTCGATCTTTGATTATGTTTCACACGCACTTGGGATCTTTCGGCCACCCCTCCTGCGACACCTCTCGCTCATCCCTTTACTCACTTCATCTTCGCTTCGCTCTTGCAAGAAACACAAAGGACGAAACGTTTGACCCATCCAGCACCTGCACCCATGGGAGCCTCTAAGCGTTGGCCACTCCAAAAGGGCGAGAAATAACGATAATGGTATTTAAGACTACTGAAGTAGGCACGGCTGTTGAGGCGTGCGAATTAACCTATACTCATGCATGGATATGCCTGCATTAATGTGCCGGCATAGCTTTGCAAGCTTTTGCAAGCTTTTGCAAGCCAATGACCTAATTACAGTGTTAACACAGCGTTACAGGCTACGGGCAAGCAGAGCAAAGTTACCCCGCAAGCTGATGAGCTCATCGTAGGTGCCGGACTCGACTAGTCTACCATTCGAAAGCACCAAGATCTTATCCGAGCTTTGGATTGTGGACAAACGATGGGCCACAGTGATTGTGGTTTTACCCACCCTCGCCTGCTGCATGGCCTGTTGCACCATGCGCTCTGACACGGAATCCAGAGCAGAAGTTGCTTCATCCAGCAGCATGATTGGAGGTTGGCGGAGCAGCGCCCGGGCGATTGCGCATCGCTGCTTCTGTCCGCCCGAAAGCTTCTCTCCACGGAAGCCAACTCGATCCGTCCACTTCACAGCACCAGTGTTCACACCCGAGAGGATGTAGCCCCTGCTCTCGTCAATGTCCGAAAAGACGTAGTCCATGTTGGCCGCCCTCGCTGCTTCGCGCACCTGGTAGTCAGTCGCTTCAGGGCAGCCGTACCTTACATTTTCTTCGAGTGACATGTCGAAGAGAACGGGCTCCTGGCCAACGACGCCCAGTTGACGACGCCACCAGGCCACATTGAGGTCGCTCAGCTCCGTGCCACCGATACGGATCGATCCACTCTGAGGGTCGTAGAAGCGCTGCAAGAGCTGGATCACCGTGGACTTGCCACCACCGGAGAAGCCGACTAGGGCAACAGACTCACCCCTTTGGATAGTGAAGCTTAACTTCTTGAGCACACGGACCTCTGGACGGTGGGGATACCAGAACTGCACATTCTGGAACTCAATGGACCCATCTCCAATGCTCTCGATTTGCCCGGCCGGCTGTGTGGGGTCGATCTTGGAAACCAGGTCGACTAAGCGGAAGACCTCTGCAGGCAAGGATGCCAATGCTACGGAAGTCTTAGCAAGTCTTAGCTGTCTCAGTTTGCCTCCTACCTGCGCTGTGCCTGAAGTTTTGTCCGGCCATTCCGGCCTCAACTGCGGCATGATACCCCGAGGCAGAGTCAGGGATGTACTGCACGATGGAGCTGACAGACATGACCCCGAACACCACGCAGAAGAGGGTTAGGAGGACTTGCCTCGGGTTGAAGTCCCAGTACTGAATACAAACTGCACTCATCCAGAAGCCTGCCAGAAATATGGCCGGAAACAGGCTTATGTTCAAGCCCAGGGAGAGGCCCAGCTTCCAGGATTTGGCAGCATTGAGCTGAGTGAGAGTGTGCAAGGATGTGTCGATGATTTCCAGGCTTCTTTCTTCTGCCCCGAGTGCTCTCAGCGTACGGATGTTGGTGGCAGCCTCGGATGTGGCATGGCCAACAGCGGCGTAGGCCGCCTCGGCCTCGGGCTCGTTCCGGGTGGCCAGCACTGCAACAAAGAAGGCGAGAAAGCCACACAAAGGCAAAAAGAGCAAAGCGGCCGAGGCCAAAATCCAGGATCCCAAGAAGCTGAGGCCGATGGCAAGACAACACGTGAAGATGGCGCCCATGGAGTTTCCAAGCTGGATACCCAACATTTGCGCCACACGGTTCATGTGCCGCTCCAACGACACAAGGATGCTCGCCGTCTGGTTCTCTGGCGCATCGAAGAAGGCTATGTTCATGCGGAGAATGCTGCTAAACGCTGCCTTGCGCAAAATCATGCACAAGCACTCCTGCACATAAGTGAACAGTGAGGTTTGCAACATCGTGAACATGCCGTTTCCCAAGCCGACCAGCACCAGGCCCAAGACGGCCTGGTTGAGCTTGGGATGCATGGCCTCGAGGTCGTCGGCACCATCGAACAGAGACATGATGGCCGTATTGAAAAACAAAGCTTCGAGCGGCATCGCGGCAGCTTCCCCGATCAGGATGACAAATGCAACGACTGCTACGGGCCAGATCCACCAGTAGCTTCTCCTCATCATACTAACCAGGCGGCACCAGACCCAGGGAGCGGAGCCAGTGTCGTCCTCATTCTGTGTGACGTCCAGCTCAAGAGTGCTAGCAGGAGATACCACCCGATTTGCAGTTGGATCAGTTGGATAGGGCTGGTCATCCTCCCCTTCGGCCTCGGTCTGTGCCTGCTGCAGCTTTGCCATGCTATAGTAGACACCCTTCTCCAGCATGAGCTGCTCATGGTTGCCTTGCTCGCAACAGCATCCCCCTTGCAGCACATAGATCAAGTCGGACGATTTGATAGTTGAAAGCCTGTGGGCAATGGAGATGGTGGTGCAGTGACGTCCCATGACATTTTGGAGTGCATCCAGAGTGCTTTGGACCATGCGTTCGGACTCGCTGTCCAGTGCCGAAGTTGCCTCGTCCAGGACCAAGACCTGAGGGTTTTTTGCCAGGGCACGTGCAATGGCCAAGCGTTGTCGCTGCCCTCCTGACAGCAGCCCCCCTCCCAGCCCGACAAAAGTGTCAAAGCCATCTGGCAGCCGACACAAGGTGTCGTAGATCTGGGCAGCTTTGGCGGCTGAAAATGCCATTTCGTCGGTGACGGAGTCATCTCCGGCCTTTAGATTGTTCATGGCGGTACTTGCGAAGAGAACAGGCTCCTGCCCCACATACCCGATCAGTTTCCGCCAGGCCTTGGGTGGGACTTGGCTGAGGCAAACTCCGTTCACCAGCACCTCTCCAGCGCATGGGTCGTAGAACCGCTCCAGGAGTTGGATGGTAGTACTCTTGCCACAGCCACTCTCACCAGCAAGTGCAATCTTCTGTCCCCTTTCCACACGAAAGCTGAAATTGTTCAGAACCCACTTGTCTGGCCTGCTTGGGTACCTGAAGCTCACATTTCGGAACTCGATGCTCTTGACCTGGTGGAGGACCTCTGGCAGCACCGATTGCGTGTAGAGGGGCTCCTCAATGGCCCGGGTTTGGGAGGTCATCATCTCCTTCGGGAAAAACATGGAACAAAACCCCACACAGTGTCTCAAAACTTCCAAAAACTTCCGGCTCGGAAGCCCCGCTCGCAGGAAAACCCTACAAAATCCGAATGAACCCCGGAGCCGCGAGCCCCGGAGCCCGCGCTTCCGGAGCCCGCTCTTCCGGAGCCCGCCTTCATGCCCTTGAAGGAGACGACTGCCCTTGCCATCACGGGAGCATAGCCGCTGAAAGCGCTAAGGCCGGAACCGCTCACCATCATGGAAATCATGACTGTGATGACATGATGTGGCCCGAAATGTGCATTTTCATCGGACATGAGGATGTGTCCCCCAAACCACAGTGCCAGAGCGTACAGGCAAGAGTAAAACAAATTGAGGCCACCCCATGCGGCACCAACCCTCATCCCAGAGCGAATGCCGCCAATCTTTGCCGACAAAAGTTCCTTCTCAAAACGTGAGGACTGCATGAACTCACCACCGAAGGCTGCCACGGTGCGTATCGCCATCAGCGACTCTTCTGCCACAGCGGACGCTCGAGCAAAGTCTGCTACCTGCACGGCCGTTTTCTGCTCAATCTCCTTGCCCATGCAGTGGCCTGCGCACACCAGGATCGGAATTGTGGAACAGATGACCAAAGAGAGCTGCCAGCCAGAATACAAGGCCAGCGACAAGCCAGCCACGCTTTGGCCCAAGCTTGCGATGAGGTATCCGAGGGCTGTTGACATGAATACATAGACATTCGCAACATCAGCTTCCAGCTTGGTTGCCACTCCTGTTGCCTCGTGCTCGTCATACCAGCAAATGTCCTGGGAGAGAAGCGCCTCTAAGAAACCACGGTGCCAGCGGCGCGCCTGCTTGGCGGCAGCCCAGGACAGGCAAGTTTGCCAACCGAAGGTAAAGACGAATTGGACGATCATTAGGACCCCAACCTTGGTGTCTGCATCATTCTCAACCTCATCTCCCTGTCATTTGGGTCTCATTTGGGTCCCATCTTCCCTCATTAGCCGAAGGCACGTTCGCGAAACGAATGAAGCATTGGAAGCTCTACTGGAGAGGCGTGTTCAGGTACTCCAGGGGGCACAAGCACAACACCCCAGCGGAGCGCCACTTTCGAAAAAGGTACTCCATGCGACAAAAGGCACAACAGCTGACGAACCCAGTACGCGCTGGTTCCAAACAAACAATCAGGAATGTGAATTTTCGCGCTGGCAGCATGTGCCTTTGGGTTTTGCGCAGGGGGGGGGGGGCACCAGAAGTCCCGCCACTGCAGGCCGAGCTTGGCTTGTCAACTCAGAGGTGTAGGGATGGCCAGGTATGCTCAATGTGAAGTCGCACACCTACGCCGCCTACACCTGTGTGTACTAGTAGGGGAATTCAAAGGCACACAAACTGCAAAACTGCAAGACACAACAAATTCTGAGCCAAACAGCCTTTGTGAGTGTTGGCGTCATTGCATCCAGCAGCTCCTCCTTCGCGATGTCCGAGACGGTCATGCTAGCAATGCTCTCCCCCGTAAAGATTGCAATTGCGGGAGCAGAGACACCCTGGCCAAGCGCCAAGATCGCGCCCAAGGCCAGAACAGACCGCTCGAAGTACTCTGTCGCCTTCGAAGGTGTTGTCAGCGCTGCCGCCGGGCCCTCCTTCTCGAGCTTCGGCAAGCACACCTTCTCATCCTGCACATTCCCAGCCTCAATGTCGACCTCGCCCACATTTGTTCCCAATCGTCCCAACAGGACGGGCCCGTTGGGTGGCTCCTGCCGGATATGCTCGGGTGAAGGTGTATTGAAACCCTTGAGCTGCTTTGCATTTGTTGTTTGATTCAATTGATTTCAGCAAGTTTTGATCAAGACTTGATGAAAAAAGAAAAAAAACCTGTTTCTTGACCCTCTCGGCCTTCGCGACCATGGCGTAGGGCTCTGCTCGCAAACTGTCTACGAAAGCTGCTTGAGCACTCAACCTGGTAACATCTGGAAAAATTCTGGCGGGCGGCGCTAACATCTTCTCGGAAACACGCCAGCCAGGTTGTTGATGCCATTCTCTGCTGCCGCTACTGCTACTGGTGCAGTCGATTGGCTGCCTTGCATGCCATAGCGTAGCCAAAGACCTTACAATCCCTGCCAGTAGGAGGACTTTTCTGGTCCTTCCTGAAGCCCTTCTGGCGAGAGGTCAAACGAAGCGAACCCAGGATATGCTGGTCTCTATGAATCGTTGCATGCTGGTAGACATCTCAGCAAGTCCTTGCGAGAGTGCTGTAAAACAAGGTCGAGCCGGAAACCCGAAAACCCAAGCGGCAGAAAAAACTCTGACCATAGTCTTGTTTTGAAAAGTAGTCCGCAGCGTGGAGCACCCCGAAACAATCCGTCGACTTTGCCGTAGGCCGACATCACCCATATCCTCAGGCCCTGCCAACCGACCCACAATTTCGCTCGCTCCCAATGCCCTGTTCACATCACTCGCCCGTTGCCTTCATCACCACCTCATCATCACCCAACCCGCCCATCGACCGGCCATCCGTCCGCTCTCACTCAGCACTGCTGCCCTTTGTCACCAGAACTGCTCGTCGACGTAGCACCAGCTCACCTCCCCATCGCCCTTGATCGCACCCCGACCGGCGACCGGGTCTAGCTTCCTGTCCTCGTTCTCCTCACCTACTGTGCCTGTTGCCACGACGACCAGCCGTCCACCCGATCTCGCTCGCTTCTCGGTTGCCTTTCATCCCCCGCCCCCATGCGAACAAATCTCTGGATCTGGCATCTGTGATACAGGACTGAACGAAAACCCCACCGAAGCAAAACAAGGTTTGTGGTCTGCAGCTGCTGCTAGACGGTCGCATGAGACATGTTGGAGGGCGAGCTGAAACTGACAAGCCCTGGAGCGACTTAGTGCAACACCGAAGAGATGCCTTTGCTGTCGGCACACAAAACCGACCTGACCTTTACTAAGACTCTACAAACAACGAAGCAACCTTTTCCAGCTCACAAGCGGGTCCAACGAGTCCAATTGCCATTGACCCGCGCAAGCAAGGCCACACGTCAGAGAGGCCCGTACAAGCACCTTGATGTTTCGCAGAGCCAGTCATGCACATTGAGCGTTGAAATTTCAAGCCGCAGGATGCTCAAAGTCTTTCAGCAAGAGGTCAACATCACGACATCCCTTGATCTCTGTTGACCGACAGTTGATTGCAAGGCAGCGCTGTCACGAAATCACGGAGCATCTACATCATGCGAATCATGCGACATGAGTCGCCAAGCCCGTAAGGTCAAACTGAAGTCCGCTGGCTAAGCGGAAGCGTAAAACCAAAAACGGGCGCACATTGTTCTGTACAGTTGTGAAGACAAGAAGAGAAGCATGGAGCGCAAGGCAGCCTGCACACCAACCCTGCAACATCCAGCAACTGTATGTCTTCTTGCTTAATGGCAGCTTCAAGATTGTCGAGCCTTTTGAAACTCTTCACTGGGCTCTCACGTTCTGCACCCGTGGAGAAGTGCGGCACTCATGAGGTGGGCCAGGCAACGCCGCCTTACCCACAAGAGTCTCTCAAGAGTCAACCCATGGTTTGAAGAAGACATTTGACTTGGCACTAGCTTGAGCACGTCATCGCGGATTCTTTGATGTTGATGCCGTGAAGCTGGCCATGCTGAGGATGCAATGTTGGTCACAGCTTGTCATTGTGAGAAGTGACGGTTACCATATGGTAGGCGCAGACAATGACAGGTCGTCCGCAAAAGCTGTGCAGTACTTCAGCGCCGGCACTTCTGCACTGGACAAAAGCGCTTTGAGAGGCAGAAAGCTTGCACTACGCTGCACCGCACTTGTGCATGGGCACATGGCTTGAGTCACGGGTGTTCATACACATCCTCAGGTCCTAACATGTCCTAACAGTCCTGACTGACCAAAAAACTGTTCAAAAAGTGACTTGTCTCAAGTGTCGAGGAGCACAAGAGGCAGAAGCTGCACCAAACGATGTTGCTGCGAGTCTTATGGTTTTTGACTTAGGTGAGCTCCCTGTTCGCCTGGTCAGTTCAGCCACAATCACACGCAAAATGTTCCAAACCAACCGTTCTCTAGCAGCCTTGAGGGGTCATAGGGATCTTGTGCCGGCAAGGCAGGGGAGGTGGAAAGGGCAAGGCCAGAATTGCAAGTCAAACCCCAAGTGGCACACTTTGCACTTGCTAGGGATGCCCATGGTCCCCAACTCCATCCGAGCTCTGGGCGAAGGCAACTTTAAACATCAGCCGCCTTACCCCGCAAAGTCTCGATGGTAGAGGCAACTTTGCGCATCGACGTCGAATAACAGAAGAAATGCACGAGGTTCTGCTTGCACATCCAAATGCAAGGGCATTGCCAGCCTGCGAAGTGAGAGATGCAGCGAGCCAGCAGCAGCCACGTAAAAATGGTTCAAAACCTGAGAAGGCTTGGGTCCTGTGACTGGCAACCTGGCTTATGTGAAGACCAGGACGCAGGCTCAATCCGCATCACATTCCGCCCACCAGCTCGACCAGCTCGCAGTCAGCCAGGATACCCGACATGCCCAGTTCACGTTGAACGCTTGTGCTACTGTTTACCGCCAACTGTGCCTTTACTGCGTCGGGCTCTTCATATCACGGAACTCGAGTCTTCAAGAAGGTGAACCACGTGAGATCACATGAAGACCAAGCTTCTGCACAGCATCGACAACAATTCACAACAATTCGCAACATGTTTGTTACCTTAAAATTTAATTTAAAGCAACTTGTGGCAACCAGGCAACCTCACTGTGCATCGAGTCACTTGGCCCGGTTTGGCAAGATGTCGCTGCAAAGAAAGACAAAGTCGGTGAAGCCGCTAAGTGACTGAGGTGGTCGACTTGGCTCGAAAGAGCGGAAACCACAAATATCACTTGGTCCTTTCAGCAATCCTGGCACCTTAGGTCACCTCACGTCGCCGAGCCTTTCAGCAGGCAACTCGGTTAACTTTGCGGCTATAACATTCTTGTCGCCATCTTGAGAAGGAAAGGGAAGGTACGACTGATAAGCACCACTTTAACTGGATTGTTTTATCCTGGACTTCACGATGGGATGTAGGAGGCATGCGGAGCATCTTCTGCAGACCTGACCGGCGTCGTGTGAAAGAGCTTTTGGTCTGAGGGGATCTCTGGCGAAGGACACAACGGCAATCGACGGCAAGCAGCCATCCCGACAGTGTGCCGGCAGCATCTGTTGACGCTGAAGCCAGTGGCCGAACACAGCAGTCGACCTAAGAATCCAGACTCACAAGCAACTGGTTTTTCAAGGGGGGGCGGGCAAACAACCATTGAACTGGAGCCATTGAATGAGCAGGTGGCTTCGCAGACGCCACGTAAAGCATTGCTCTGTGGCTAATTTTCATGAACTGGAGCGAGCGTCAGACTCTGTCAGTGTGTCACGGGAACTCTCAAATGTTTTGGACCTTTGACTGCCTGCGCTATCCTTTGCTGGCGGGGATTCCCAAAGCAGGACACAGTCTCCTGATTCCTCACGCAATGACTTCTCAGCCGCCCACTCGCGTGGACTAGCAAATGCCCTACCATCTCCTGGCAAAGCTGGGAACTGCCAGTCGAGGCTTGCATCGGCTGATAACGTTGACGAACCCGGCTGAGTCGACCTCTTCAGGAAATCTGGACTCCTGCAGGCCGATGACAGCACGATATGAGTGGAAGCTGCCATGATGACTGCAAGACCACGGAACCAGCGCAACTGCAACGCTACTCCACCAGCTGGCACTTCTACCGCTTCCACCAAACTCGCGCAGACTTCCGTTGCTGGCCACATGTGAGCAGACTGGAGCTGCAAAGGTAAAGGACGAAGCAGCAAGCTGATAAATGGATGATAACTCAGCTAGTGCCCATCTGCGGCTAGCAGGCTAACAGCCTGTACCTTCGCAGCTAGGACCACTAGCTGCCAGTGCTTCTGATACTTGATATATCTTGCCTCGTATACTGTGCCACCTGACGCCGGCAACATCCTTGTGGTAATACGCTTCTAAACAATGCAGCGGGAGGAACCCCCGAGAAAATACAGACTCAACACCCGGAAAGCCGTAGACGACGGTCCTACGGCGTTCGCTGCGTACAACAGATGGGAATTCTGCACAACCTAAAGCTGTTTCACAGTCCATTTCAGAGCATTCATGTCGATCGAGCAGCGCTGTCGCCGGGATCATCTACTATCTCTGCGCGCAAGGCAGAGACTCCATCGTTGCTGTGTGCCAGCCTTCACCCTAACCTCATCATCTGAGAATGATTACCATTCCGCGCATCAGGGCACCGTACGGCCTTGACGAAGCCACATGTTCTCCCTCTTCTCCATGACTTGCGGGCAGATCCAAAAACCTTAGGATTCGGGAAGGTGCTACATATAACATGGCACAGAAACATGAACAATTCGTGCACCAAGCAAGCGGTCCTCGTAGACGCCGGCCTACAGACGCTTGCACAGAGTTGCATCCCATCTCCCGGCTTGCAACAAGCTCATACCGCACGTAACAAGGGACCCTCTCCTGTCACCGCATCCTACGTGGAATATGCTGCGGTGATCGTGCGGCCAGGGATTTCCGCGAACCCCTCAAAGCACATCCCACGTCAAAACCGCATGAAAACGTCTCCACAATCGCTTCCGATGTCAAGGTCTCCATGCGGTCCTAGGATATCCATAGCTGGAGGTCGGCGTGTGGAAAAATGCCTGATCCACCTGAGACCGCCCGTTGCAGTTTGCGACAACCCGATCCTAGCATGCGGACAAGCAATTGGCAGCTGTCATGAGAAGGACGAGAAGGACAGCAGTTGCCGGCGCATGCCCATTTTGTGATTGATGCAAACTTCAGAGGAATGGTGGGGGCACAATGCTGCTCAAAAAGGGATGGCGAATCTTACAGAACTTTAAGCTTACTTTGCCGCTAACGCGTCGGGAATGTTGGACTTCCAAAAAAACATATGACAGTATGTAAATGGCCAGTACACACCTGCATCGCACATCGCACGGCATCTGCTTCTCAGACTGGGCACAGCCCTTCGCTGTCTGCAGCTGCACCTACGCCCGTCTGCCACGCAGCGAAGCGCCACCTATCAGAATCCCGCGAACCTGCCTTGCAGCACTATGTTACCATGTTGTCTTCGATCCTGAGATGCTGAGATGGAGACTGATGCAGGCACGGGCACGGGCACGGTGCATCAGCCCATAGGCCATAAGCCCAACGTGCCCGCCGGTCGACGCTTCGAGTTTGGATGACATTGCTGCAGGGAGGTCAGCGCAGTACAAAGCGGCTGGAGTGCCGACTGTCTAAGACTCCAGCCTTTGCACACAGGCTTGTGGGGGCTCCTGTAGCTTGGCCAAAAACTGCCAGGATGTCACAAGTTGCATTAAGGGGTAGTCAGGACCAGGCAAAAGCCGCTGTGACGCCGAAGCGTGTCGCAAGTACTGTGCAGATAGATGCAGTTTTGTGAAGGGATCTTTAACCTTTGACGATGAGCATGTCGCGACCGCTTGACACCCCAATCCCTCCGCACATACTTCCTCACACTACATGAGTCGCTCTTGAAGGACCGCTTTTGATGTCAAAGCCTCCATGTGGTCCTATGGTACCCACAGCTGGAGGTCGGCATGCGGAAAAACGAACTGATCCTCCCCGTGCAGCTTGCGATTCCCAGGTTCCAACATGCCGCAATTCAAGAAGCCGACTGCTGTCATGAGAAGCGAAGCAGCTGCCGGTGCTTGCCAGAAACTTTTGCGACTGATGCAAACTTCAGAGGACGTGGTGGGCGCACAAAGCTGCTCAAAAAGATGGCGAACTTATGGTTAGTTCGACTCTGACTTGAAAGTAGCGAATCGGGAATGCTGGGGCGCACAGTTGCATCCCACAGCATCTGCTTCTCAGACTGGGCACAGCCCTTCGCTGTCTGCAGCTGCACCTATGCCCGTCTGCAACGCAGCGAAGCGCAACCTATCAGAATCCCGCCAACCCGCCTTGCGGCACTATGTTACCATGTTGTCCTCGATCCTGAGTTGCTGAGATGCACGGGCACGGGCACGGTGCATCAGCTCAGGGGTCCAACGTGCCCGCCGGTCGACCAAGTAGCGAACGATAGCCAACGTATTCGCTTCGAGCTCCGATTCACAAACCTGAATCTGCTTGCACAGCAGTTGCGACACTCTCTCGTGAAGGGGCACTCTTCCCGCGAAGATCTGTTTTTGATCATCGAGGCCTTGTGAGGTTTAGCTTATTCTAGCTATTTCTAGCTTCATCTTGACCTGAAAGTCAAGGTCTTTCTCGAGGCTCAGCTACGGGAGCCTCGACAAGCCTCACGTCCTTGCACCGCCTATGCAAGCACCAAGCAATCGAGCTTGCACACCTGCGCGCATGCGGGTGTGCACGCTCGCAACAAGGCACGCACGTGGGCATGCAAACAGATGAGCATTTGCGTGTGCGGGGTGAGGTATGTCGACTCCGCTGCAGCAAGCTCAGCGGTCATGGACGAACCTCCCCAGTCACCAAAAACGATGTTGGGCATTTGAGCTGGAGACGACGCGCACACTTGACACCCACAGATTGTTAGTCAAGAAGAGGGGTGGGAAGGGGGTGGCGAAGAGTCTTGCCTGGCCTGCCTTCCTTTTTCAGAAGAGTCCACCACTGTCACGGAACCTGGAACCCAACTTAAAATAGAACAGACGCCTTGGAAAGGTCTCCATGGTGCTAGGGCCCTGAGAACAGACGCACGAAGAAGAGGGGGCCTCAGAAAGGTGACTTGGCAGACTTGGCAGAGCCAAACCTCCGCACTACCTGGTCGACGATTCCCCTCCGAGCAGCATTGGGCCACGCGGAGATTCATATGCAAGCGACAGCAGACGGACAGGCACCAGGGCTGCAAATGCTGCGAGCCATTCGGAGAGGTCTCAACAGTGAATGGCAATAATTCGGTCGCTGACTGTTCATATCAAGCAAGGACGTGATGACGTTCCCCCAGCCAATGCCCCTCATACTTGGAATAGCAAAGGCACGACATGCACGCGACGACTATGCTAGGTCAACGCAGGCAGTTTGTGCATGTACAAGCACGTGCTGCTGCCGGCCAATGCTGTGGGAGTCCAACGCCGGACCGGCACCGCCACACTGCGAATCTTATGAGTGTTGCTGCGCGTATTTGAGAGATCTCTGCTCTCTCTGGAGAGAAACTATTCTTAGAAACAGGTGTGTGGTTGAAACTCTTTGTGGCCACTGGTTCACTGGTTCCCATATGTTCGCAGACTCTGTAGCAGCGGGCAGTCCAACTTTGCCGAGCCAGCTTGCCATACGCTTGAAGCAATGGTCTTGGATGTCATGGCGCACGTGACCTCCGAGGCAGTGCAATGCAGTGCACCTGCACAGAAACGAACACGGAGGATGGCAGACCGCGGTCTACTGGAAGCCAAAAGTGCAACTGCGCGCAGGACCACGGGTGCCAGGATATGACGAGTAGCCAAGTAGCCGAGAAGACGGGCATCTTCGGCCATGAAGCGGCCTTCGGCTTGGCATTGGCCCACACACTGGCTCAGGGTGAGGATGCCATGCCACATCTGCCCGATGGCAAGGCCAGTGGACCTTCCTTCATCCCCACTGATCATGACTTTGTTTTCAAGACGCGGCGAAAGGCGGAGCCACGTACGCACAGGATACTGAGCATCCGCTTGAATTTCTTGCCATTTCGCTGGCAGAGCAGCTAAACAACGCAAGCTAAGTTCATGTAAGCACAGCATAAAAGCTGCTACGGAGAACATTATACAAATGCCATGGAGACCTGCCCAGGAACCTTTGCACTCCATCGTCATCCGCCACAATGAGAGGTAGGCCGACAACCGAAGCACTTCGAAACCTCCCAGCACCCAAACATGCTTCTCTCAGAGCGGCTGCGGCGACTTCCATCGGCTATTCAACGTGCAGTCGTGAGGTCAAGAAGCGAAATGCAGCCCTGCAGCATTGGGCGGCCCGACCCGCCCGTAGCTGAAGGATGCAAGTTCTGCATGCTGAGGCTACGGGTGCTATGCCAAGCTTTATGCACAGTGCCAGGATAGTCCTGCAAAGGCCCAAGCACCATACAAGCAGCTTGAGACCAGCTTGGGGCAATTTGGGGCAACCTGTGCTATGAAGCATCGGGTTGGGAGCAAGGGTTTGTCACCGTCAAAGCTGCATTCCGGATCTTCCAACCGGACATCATTTTCTGGACACTTTCTGGTGACTCTTAACCGCAGTCCGGTACTTAAATTGAAGTGTTGGGAGTACAAAGCGAAAACCGGGAAGCTGCAACAGATTTAGGACAGTGAAGGACAGCGAATGCCAAACGGAGTAAGGATCGGACCGGGAGACACATGGAGACACTGACCAGATCGCCCTTCAGGCCTGTACAGTGTGGTGAATGGCCAGCTCACCACTGGCGAATCAAAGCCAGCGAGAAGCCGACCATGCTTTTGACGATCTCTGCAAGGCCGGCGAACGAATTACTACCGCCAGGGCGCCGCAGTGGCACGACCAAGCTGGATACCGTGTGGCACATTTTGAGCACATAACTGGATCTCGGCTGGCACAGTGTCAGGAATATTTGTGCAGATGCACATCAAGGGGCCTGCCCAAGGCTGCACCATCAACTGCAGTTGCTTTCTTGCTGAGCAACACAGGACAAAAAGAATGCAGCAATCTCTCTCTCAGCACGGAATTGAAAAGTCAGCAACGTCCCATGAAGCCAGCTCAGTCACCTGCGCCATCCAATGCCAATGCCAATGCCAGCTAAGCCCAAGAGCGGGAGGAGAGGAGAGTCGACAAACTGCACAAACCAAAGCAAGGCTGGGTCCAGGGAGTGCAGGGGGTCCAAGGAGTCCAAGGAGTCCAAGGAGTCCAAGGAGTCCAAGGAGTCCATCGCTTGGTGCTGACATCTGAACCGGGCCTGCCGAATGCAACAGGCATTGCAAAAATTATAGCGACTGCTAGGTGCGAGGAAATCGGAGACTGCACGCTTTCCAAGTTTGGAGATGCAGGTGAGAGGAGCCACAGGAATGCCCAGATTTATAGATTCTTCACGGGTGAGCCGCCAATTCATCCTCGTCAGAAAGCCACTTCCGCCATGCAGCTTGCCTGCACTGCATGCGCACCGCGAATCCCTGCAGGAATCGGAATGCTTGGGAGCCTTTGTTTGGGACACCGATCTTACAGTCCCAAGCTCTACACAGACACGAAATCAGATGCCCTCTGCTTTTAACCGGATGGATTACAAGGTGATGCTGGAAACACGAATATACCTGGGGAAGCTGATCTGGGTCAGCTGCTGTCAATTTGCATGCTTTCAGTACTCGGGCTCACTTGGGGCCGGTCTACTGACCACACATCCCACGCATGCCACACAGACCCAAGCCTAGGAACGACGAAAGCTAGCAAACGAGGCTTCCGTTGTTCTGCCATAGCTCAACGACGATCGCAGGTGCACATGCTGCACATGTATGATGCCATCATCTAGGGAAGGTCGAAAGCCAACGGTGTGTACGGGCGCTGTCGAAGACTCAACCCTCTCGCCACATGCAGGGATCGCATGGTGGGGTGTGGGAAACCGACGTTGAACAGTTACGCAACCAATCTTTTAATTCGAGTCTTGCAACTAGATTAAGTGCATGGTAAGCAAAGCTCAAGGCCTCCAGAAAGAACGAGCTGAATCGTGATAGGTTGGCTCTAGTGCAAGCAACGGACCTCTGCACGGTGCCGCTGCTTGCAATGCGAGCCCGCATAGAAGGCTCGCGTTGTTTCTGAAGGGCACGAACGAGATCGTAACTGGTGATTCATTATCTCCAGCTAAGCCCCTCAACAATACATGGATGGACAAGGGCTGTACATCTGCAAATTATTTCCGGCTTGGCCAAAGGAGTGATCGGGACAACAACCGGTAACCTGGAGACCTCAACAACACCTCAAGGCTTGGCCGAGATATTGCTCATACCGCCTGCGCTGCCTTCTGAAGACAGACGCCGCGAACGCAAGCTTCCTTATGCACACATTCCCTTCCGGGCAGCATGCTTTGCATCACGTTCGCAGGCATCTGGGACAGAACAAGGCAGAAAGCAGGGCTTCGGTCACCTTTCGACCGAACCCTTTCCAAGGACATCAAAGGACGTTAGCGGCGATTGTTGGTGTGTGGCCTGAGTCGCATCAAGCGCTGGCAAGGATTCCCATGTTACAGCACGTGGCGAGCTGCATGACAAGTTGCGAGGTTTCTCAAGCTTTTGTGCATTGGTGAGAGCTTGGCAGAACAAAGCAAAACACTTCCATGGCATCTTTCGGCGGTGTTGGTGCCCGGCCCTTGAGGCACCAGGGACGAAACAAAACTGCAAAATGCTTCAATTCCGTTTGCTGCACTCCCTTATCTTCCACGAAGCGACAGCCTCTAGATCCAAGGCAATGAAACTTCGATGTTGCGATGGGATGGGAGTTTCACCGAGCCCCTTCACAGAGCGTGCCACGTACCACGCACCGCGCGTACTCACTGCGGCTGCGGGTGCTAGGCATGGAAGAACGCAGCAGTCCAACACACAGAAACACGGATCCGTGTACTGGAGGCACTGCAAGCGATGCACCCCATTCGACCCAAGAGCTGCTTGCGATGATGCAAGAGACAGTGAGAGCAAGTCGCTGTGCAACTCCTGCGAGGGCAGTTCGAGCGAGTCCGTCTGCAACTCCTTCGAGGGAACATGCCACGCTATGCCAAACTTCACCTATGGGTGCTATGTCGTGGATGGGCGCCTGATGACGGCACGACCCAATACTGCCTCTAGACGGGCCAGGTGATCTATTGAAGCCATCCTCATCCTACAATCCTACAAACTGTCCTGCGAACCCTTCCTTGCAACTCTCGACAGCCTACGGCACATCCCACGAGCCCAGCCCAGCTGGCCTAGTTCGTGCGTTCAATGTTGTTAGTGTTCGATGGGAGCTTAACCATCCATGTACATCCATGTTGACTGTCTGTTGGCTATGAACCCCACACTCTAAATCCAGTAATTCAAGCGGAGTCGCTGATGATTTCGACATAATGTGCAATGAAAGCACAGCTGCAAGCTCATCTTTGCATCTTGCACGGCGTTCTGCTTCTGGCTTAACGGCTTAACTCAGCGATCCACTTGGCAACCCAAACAGTGACCCCTGAATCAATGGATTGTGCTTTTGTTTGCACAAGGTCAAACATGGAGCTGTTACAGCCCAAAACGCCATTTCTCCAGGACTTCCCGAAGTCCCCCAAATCAAAGCTCAGCTCCGGCTTTTCGAAGATCCACCCCATTTTGTAGTGCAGCAAATAACATTCTACCCCCCTCCTACTCCCCGAAAACAAGCCAACTGTCAGATATCAGAAATCAGAAGGCATCAGTCCTGCCCGCCCCGTCCGCTCCAAAAGCAAGCAGCAAGAAGCCTGGACGATATCAACAATGTCTTCATGCTCTCCGCTCGACCCCCGGTCGAAGCCTTGTTGAAGCTACTCGAACCGAAAGCGCGTCTGCTTTTGACAAACCCACACCACTTGGAAGATGCGTGAAATGGATCACTTCTGGATGTCCCGGCAGCCTTCGATGGAGAATCGACGTGATCAAGGCCAATGGTTCTCGCCAATGTAGTAGACTGAGTGGAAGACCTGCTGCATTTTGAAGACGGCGCACAATCACGTCACCTGCGACTCTGCAACTCATGTCATGAAAGCGCTCCTCCAGGCTCATCTGTCGGCATCGAGTCGGCAATGCAGCGGCCATGGCTGCAGTATGCTGCAGTGCAGAAACTGCACGTCAAGAGTTCAAAAACAATCAAGAGTCGACATCGATCCGTCTAAATGCGCAGCTACTTTTGAAACTTGTTCAGGCGTCATCAAATGGTGTTAGAGAAACTGGTGGGAGTGAGGGGGTGCCACAACAAAACCAAATCGCATTATTGTTGTGCATGCGCGGTATTAATGCTGCATCAACATCTGCTGCATGCCACTTGCTAAGCACTTGCTGCGCCCTGCAATGCGACATATACTGCACATCACTTGCTCCAATGCATGTTGTTGCCCGGAAGAACGCTCCAGCAACATGAATTTCCGATGAACAACATCGATGAATCGATGATGTACCCGTGCACGCTAGCATACTAAGTGTGGTTATGTTCATTGTCGTTCGGACGAGTGGACCAGGCTGTTGCGCAGCACTGCCACTATAGTCGCAGCATTTGAAGTCCAAGTCTGTTTAGTAGCCCGCGAGGTCGTCTTCTGCATGCGATCTCTGTTTCGTTGCTGAGATGTAGCTTGAGAAAGGATGGCATGGGGCTCCAATGGAGTTGGTGGGAGTGGGGTCGATGATCACCAGGACATTCTGTCGGCTTGACATGCATCAGGATGTTTCGCTTTGCAGATGACTTGAACCTGCACTTCAGGGTCGTCCGGTGCTCTGCATCTCTCTGCGTAGATGAATCGATAGTTAGAGACTATGCTGGATATTTCTTGTTTCATTGCATTGCCAACGTTGTTCTCGCCACTGCTGCAATGTCTCATGCAGGTGAAGGTACGTCAAGTCTTCGCGAGGTGTAGTCGCGGCTGTTCGCGACGCGTACGACACGAGGCGGCTCTTGATGACGAATTGCCTCTGCTCGTAAGGCTCATTTCTTTCTGTTCTCTGAAGTTGCCTGGGCCTGGGCTAGGTGGGGCCACACTCATCGAATCTATGTTAAGTAGTGTAACTTCCTGCAGCCTAGCGGGAACACAGCAAGAGCAATGCAGCCTTGCCATCTCATCAGAACATATGACAAGCCTGTCTCCAAATCGCCAGTTAGGAACTTAGCTGGACCCCTGCCCCTGTGGGCGGCGCCAAAACTAAACACAAATACAACACTCCTACTGTGGAAAGGAAGAGGCGGCACCTGCTTCTGAGGGCGAATAGGCCAGCAGAGCTGACAAGTCTGACAAAGACTCAGGCCGTGCACATCGTTTAGTGCCAAATCACAACCAGACCAGGCTTATTAAACGGCCTCATCGGATTCTAGACCCAATGGACGAATCACGCAAGGACCTCTTTTTGTTTGAGCGTGAGGGTTTCTGGATGCAACTAAGTGTTTGCGCACAGAAACTGTGAAAGGTTGAAAGTCGAACCTGGTTTGTAACACGTGTTGTTGCGGGTCAAAAGCAAAAACGACTGCTAGAGGTCCGATGGGGCTCGCTTTCGTGATTGATGAAGCATTCTTGTTTGGAATGTGTGGCAAAAGCTGGCGATCCTGGGGTGCCATCCTTAAGCCGAGTTAGTCGCGACCCATAACATGCTCGTATTCCGCATTGGTTTGGCCAGAGTTCGAGGAATTGGAAGCCAAACGAACATAGTGGAACCAATGTGGAACCATGTCATTTGCTGACCCCCGCACCAGGCCGCGTGCCACGCAGCTATCAGGATTCTACCCTGGCTGTCAGCGAAAAGGCATGAGCTCCGTGGGCCTCGTTCACACGTCAGAGCAAACTGTTGGCAATTCGAGAACTTTCGAGAAGAAAAGCCTGCTCACTGGTGCAAATGCAAACATGAAGGCCTTCAGAAGCTGGTTCAGCTGCTGGAGCCGCGCCGATGCAGACAGGGTCAGGTCTGCCTCAGAGACGGTGAGACTTGCGGAAAATCGGGAGCAGCGTGTCGAAACAGGCACATGCATAGACGTGTGCAGCCTGGACAACCTTGTTGCAGAGAAAGGCAACTCGCGCTTCAGCCCTTTCCGGGCTTGGGCCCCGAAGCTACGGCGTACTGATGCGGAAGCTGGAATACTGAAGATCTCTTCTTAAAGTAAGGCTAGGAGTCTAGTTTAGAACGACTCATTTGGCGGTCTTCGGGGGCGGAAAGAAAGCATGAGATTTGCACGCCATCGCGGCATGCAAATTGCAAAGTACCTGTTTTGGTGTGCCACGAGTAGGCCAGAGACGGCCTGTGGAACCAAAGCCATCATCCAAGTTTTCCCCCCTCCTCCCCCCTTTCGCAAAAGCTGTCCCCACCCCGTTCGCATTCGCAAGCGATTTACAGCCTGACAGCTCCAGTTTGGGGTTCAAGCTAGAGCAGAAAGGTACAGAATCGGAGTGCTTGGGGGGCTTGGGTCTCGGTCCCTGCAGGCTTGGCTGGCCCGGGGATAACAGGTGGGCCCCTTTTGCGACACAGGGTCTGCAACAACGCCGCTCTCTTTGGGGTACGGGTTGGCAGTAGGTGCGTAACAGGGGCCAGAAGCCTAAAGGTTCTGCTGACTCCGTAAAGCCAAAAGTAGCAGCAAACCAATCTCCCAGGCCAGCTTACCCTAAACCAAGCTCCCAGGTTCACACTGTCACACCGCCTGAAAAAACGGAGTGCGCAGCACCGGTGCTGCTGCATGACTTCCACTTAAGCTTTGGACTTAAGATGGCTGAAGGGCTTTGTTAGACTTCAATGTTTCAGGGTGTGGAGGGCATAGGGTTTAGAAGGGCTTCGGCCGCGGGGATCGCCGGGATTGACTTATAGGCAAAATACTGTGCTGGAGGCCTTATGCCCAGAAGCCAAGAAATCGAAGAAGCAGAACAAGGCAAGACGCTGCAAGCCAGAATCAAAGAAGCCAAGGAGGCCTTCAAGCCAAGACATCAAAGAGGGGGTGGGCGCGGGAAAACAAAAGGCAACGACCAAAAACGTCACGCTTCTAGTTAAACATCTGTCAGAAAATCGGTGGCACATACACCAATTCTGACCTACTGGTAATTGGTACAGCGGCTGTCAAGGAACTGAGCCATGCACCAAGACGCGAAAGTCGAATCCCCACGTAGCATAGTCAGGCCTGAGTACGGCATGATTGTCATGAGTCATGATTATGTGCGTGTCTCCAATGTCTCCATGA